TCCAGCCTCTAGTTGGTGTCTCATTGACAGCCGCTAAAGGTGCTTCTGCACTACTCACTGTGATTTTCACAGTGAGAAGACGCCAGCGTCCATAGGAAAGCATTAAAAATGCTTTCCTATGGACTGGCTGAATGCACGCGAATGCGCATTCAGCCGATGACGGCCAAAGGAGGAGGAGAGTCCCCAGCGCCGAGGGAGCCCGGCGCTGGAGAATGGTGAGTTTTTAACCCCCATCCTCTCCATTCAGCCCAGCGGGAGTGGGACCCTCAGGGCACGAGTTTGTTTTCCTGGCACTATAGTGGTCCTTTTAAGTAAATCCTGATTTGTTTCACTTCCCAGTTGCTAATGAAAAACTACCATGCCTGATCGGCACTCAGAGTTGTTACAATGTATATCAAGCTACTTGCATTGTTCCATACAGTTACACAGGCCGACTGCTGTCTGGGAACACAGACGCTGACAGTGGAGGGAAGGGTATTAACCAAAGCCTTTTCATACTGGTTATTACAACTCTGCAAAGTAGGATTAATGTATGTTACAACAATTTTAAAGTACATTTTTCATGGTAGCAACATGAAAAATTACAGAATTTTTTTTACAGAAACAATGATACTCTCCTGCCCCATGTATGCCCTAGTTCAGCAAATGGGCCCAGTGAGATTGGAGCCTCCTTGCATGAACAGAGGTATCTCAAGAACATGTGATCACATTCATTATGGTAAATGGGGTTTGCTCTCATCGATAGGTTTCAAAATAGCATTCAACACTTTGATTAAAAAAAAAAGTTGTGTGTTGACTGTAATTCTAAGAGATTTTAGAGTATGTATGAAGCTGTGCAACATAAATAATGTCTTATAGAAATTAGATAACTCTCTATCTTTCAGCCTACAAGCGAGGAGGATCTGTGTCCGATCTGCTATGCTCACCCGATATCTGCAGTATTCAAACCCTGCTCACATAAGTCCTGCAAGTGAGTAAAAGTGTCTTTTTTTTTTTTTTTTTTTTAATATCACAAATCAAGTTTTTCCTTCTAGCCAGAAGACGGGAATTAATGCACCTTACCAGACACCAGAAAGTCACTTAACCCTCTTAGGAGCAAACAATGAATTAACTGTTATTGTTTACGTCTGTAAATGGTTAGTAAGCAGCAGGGCCGGACTGGGGACACGAAGCAGCCCTGGAAAAAAAAAATCTATGCCAGCCCCATAAGTCATTTGCTATGTAGTGTGTGATATATATATTTTTTATTGGTATATTTATTTTTCTAATTCAAAATATTAGTCCTTTTAGGGTAATTCAATTATACAGTAAAGCATACTCACATGCAGACACAGACAATCTTACTGATGCACACAAATGGGCTCATTGACAGACAATCTCAATGACACACACAGACAAGGTTACTGGTACACACATAAATTTAGGACAGACAAACTCTGATACACACACAAGCTTACTACAAACAAGCTCACTGTCACACACATGCTCACTACAGACAAGCTCACTGATGCGCGCACACACCCTCCCTACAGACAAGCCCATTGACACACACATGCTCCCTACAGAAGAGATCACTAACACACAGATTCACTACAGACAAGCTCACTGACACATATGGTCACTACAGATAAGCTCACTGTACACACATGCTTACTTCAGATAAGCTCACTGTACACACATGCTCACACATCCAGCTCCCTACAGACAAGCTCACTCACTAACAGGCACACACACAAACTCACTAGCAGGCACACACACACACACACACACACACACACACACACACACACACACCGAAGCTCCCTCACTAGCAGATGCGCGCGCGCGCGCACACACACACACTCACTGGCAGATGCGCGCCCGCACACACACGCACAGAAACTCACTCACTAGCAGATGCACACACACAGAGACAGGCAGCCAGTCACACTCACACACGTAGGCAGGCAGACAGTCAAACACACACACACGTAGGCAGGCAGGCAGTCACACACACAGGCAGGCAGTCACACGCACACACACACAGGCATGCCGTCTCACACACACACACACACACACACACACACACACACACACACACCTGCTTCTTACCTCCACATCCCTTGGAGCTCCTGGAGACTGGTTGTTGGGGAAGCAGGGACGCCTTCCTTCTTCCCATGCTGCAGTTACCAGGTCCCGCCGCACGCTAAGATCCACCCCCCAGCCCCCGCCGCAATTTTTTTTTTTAATAAGGCCGGCCATGTGTGAGCTGTGCCGGCCGCCTGGTTCCCCCTGCTCTAATGGGGTCCTGTGCGGCCGCACATCTCGCACATGGCTCGCCGGGATTACAGGAGCCTGACCAGCGATGAATAGGGCTGTTAGCCCAGCCCCAGGTGCCACGGCCCACCAGGAAATTTTGCGGTATCCCGGTGGGCCAGTCTGGTCCTGGTAAGCAGGACATTTTGTGATGCAGCATGAACAATCATTGGCTCTTAGGGGGTTAACCTTAGTTATTCAGTACAAACTGTACCACCACATTGTATGCGGCAAATGACACAATATAAAGTATATTACCTAATGTTTGTTACACATATTGTAGAGTATTGTGTTAATATTCTGATCTACATCATCACACATGAACACTGGTCTCATGATTTTATGCCCAATCACTACATGTTTTCTGGGGTAAAGTACTGATAAATCAGGTCCAAAATGTGGCTACTGGCTACTTTTCTTGAATTTACAGGTTAGTTGACTTGATACAGATATGAGCCACATATATACATGGAGAAAAAACCGTATAGGCTGATGATGGGACAGAAAAATCCACACATGAAATGTGACATATACTGTCATTTGTGCAAGGTGTCTGTCCCTGTATAGGTGGAAATGTGAATGTGCTACTCGAACAGAGATAAAAAATGACTTCTTAGTAATCGTAATAATGTATATGGAAGGCACTTCTAGCATTGCTTCCCCTCCCATGCTTTGGAAGTCTAGATCTGGTGTTGAGTATGTGAGTATCTCTCCCTTATCCACCTTATATGTTCTCATCATTTAAGGAGGGAGCACCAGTGTTCTCCAGCCATATTTAAATAAAGATATAAAAAGCCCTGTATAATGTGAACAAAGACATAAAAAGGAAACCTTGAACCCATTACGGTTTTTGTACTGAAACTCTAGCATGAAGTGACTTCTAGTACCCACCTTGTAAGATATTTTAATTCAATGCCATAACTTAAAATGTGTGCTGGTGGAGCAACACCCAAGTCTAATGGGCATGGGCTATCTTGTGTGTCTTAGGTACACAGTGGTATGAAGAGGAATAGTGGGGCCACCTAAAAACAAAACCTCTGTCCAGGGTTCTGTAAATTGGCATTGCCCTAGATTCTGTCAGTACAGTATGATGCACAGTTTACTCTGTTAAAAAGACTTTTATTTTAAATTAGCACCCACCTTTGAGTTTTTTTTTTCTTTTTTTGAGAATTGTTTGTTTATTGGATTATCAACAGTTCTATGTGAAGTTAAGTAAACATTGTGGCTGTCTGAGTCACTTTGTGGTTTAGGGAGAGCACACTACAGAAGCTGCAACATCTAGGAATTTTGCAGCAAATGCAACTTATACAATCCTCTAAATAGCTCAGCTCCAGCCTGTACTGTTCCTTTTAAATGTTGATGTGTCGCTGTTAGAGCAATTCTAACTAAACGGTATGGCTATACATTCTGTTGAATAGATCTTTGTGTGAAAAATCATTCCATTGGTGAGCTGCAAATCCCTACAATGCATAAGGGTCCCAAATATAGTATTCTGCCCCTACGTATGCATATTCACTAAAGTTCCTTTGCCAATTTTACATTATTTATGGTATAGTAACAAAGAGATGTTGTATGCAACGTTCCATTGCTGCATATTAGGCCGCAAGCCATCACTATATTCAGTGAAATGCAGTTTTGCCATTGTCAGATTTAACTACACTTGAATGCTCGTTCATAGTGCATATACTTTTGGGATAGCAAAGTTCTGAAAGCTGCATGAATAAAACCTACGCTCTTATGATACCAGTGTATTAATGTTAAATTATTTCATTTGCAACTTGGCAAGCACTGAAGTGTAGATAGGATTTAGTCCGTTTTGCCATCACTGTCTCTAATGTGTGTCTTTCTCTTAAAGAGCCTGCATCAATCAGCATCTAATGAACAACAAAGATTGTTTTTTCTGTAAAGCTACAATCATGGGAGTGGAAGATTACGAAAAACCAGCAGGCAACTAGCTCCTCCAACCACTTGGACCAGACAGTCTTCACACAAAGTCCTTACTTTCCGATGAGATGTAGACTTTGGGCGTAGCGAATTGAAGGCGATTACAGCTTTAAATGTAAATGTTATTTAACATGCTGGTTTTAAACTCCCAGCCCCTGTGGACTATTGGAAAGAGCCATTTTATTATTGGTTTACAGTTAGTGGATTGGCAGCTGGTAGGGAGGGCAGGTGGTTGTGTATGTTTGTGTGTAATTATTAACCCTCACACTGCTGCACTGTGTTTTTGAAAGCACTCACAGAGCTATGCCGGGTAGGTTCTCCAAACTCTCCGTAAGACTGTTGTGGTGCCTACTCTTTCACAGTCTTACTGAGAAACGGTCTTACTGTCAGTATCCTGTTCAGGAGCCGGTCACACTGCACTTTGTCAACCTATCGCCTTGTGCAGTGCAGTCAGTTCTAGCACTGGAGGAGAATGCTAAACGGAAGAGCCTTGTTTACAACCGAGCTGCATTTTTATCATTTATACTGTGTTAAGTGAGATGGCACAGAATTAAATTATTTATGCATCTATATAATCATTTTGTATTTGTTTTGTTGCAAAAGCTATTCCTATACCGAAGGACAATATGTAAGCAAACTTAGGTGCAGACTGAGATTCATGCCTGTTGGGAGTCCCTCCTAGATTCACTTTGGTTTGTCTACAAATTAAGTACGGTTTTATTTCCCTCTCGTCAAGTGTTGAAAGTCATAAACAGATCAGTGTCAGGAAATGAGCAATACACACAGAGTTGAATAATCTCATTAATTTATAAGAAAATGTCCATTGTAAAACATAAAATAGACTATTACAGCCAGGCAAATCTGTCTGATAAAGTCAGCTAGCTTCCTTACTGCCACCCTAAATTCTAGGGTGTTTCATAGACTGCACCTTGTATTTTACTATTAATCCTTGAGAACTAAACGGTGACCCCAGCTGTTTTACTACAACTCCCTTGATGCTTAGCAAGAAATCTACGAATCTAAAGGAGCTGTATTATTACAGCAATTAAAGGGCTAACATCATAGTTTAGTTAGATGTGCACAACAAGCCTTTGTGCCAGAGCAGGGTTAAAGCCGATCAAGAGAAGCAAGGACACTTATCCTTCCGTCCTTCCTCTAAAAGAGTTATACAACATCTTCCAATGTACTCTTGCATATTAAAATGACTGTAATAGGGAAGAAGTACAGGGCTCCAACATATCCCTCTTCACCCTCAATAAAAGGCACAGCTCTTTTTTTTTTTTTTTTTTTTTAACAAGGGTGTACCCTCACATGGCAGTTAGAAAGTGACCTGTTTGGCAACAGAGGTGGTAAATTCCCTGTGACTACTCTTGCAAGCACAGTTAATGTTGCTCATAGATGTCTTAGCCTAGGGAAATACCTCCTGCCGTGGAGGTAAAAAAAAATAAAAAAATCAATGTTCTTGTTTGCAGCACAGAATGGTGTTCACAGGTCCCAGTGTAAGTGCTCTCGGTAGCCAATGTACAAATCTACATGATAATCCTTGGTTCCGGCACAGACTCAGAGATGCATTTGTGTGGCAACACATTAGCTCCATTTAGATAAAGCTCATCATTGACTATTACATCTTCTCCCAGCACAGTCACATTCTCCATGCGAACCTGCAACACAAACAGGAAAAATCTGAATATTGCTGGCCAAACCCAAAAGGTGTCTTGCCTCAACATTTTAGAATTCTAAGTTATCTTTTTATTATTTCTATCTTAAAGAGAATATGGGTCCCCAAAACCATACAAATTTAAATTACATCCACATTACAGTTCCAACTGAATGAACTCACCCACTGTCCAACTGAAGAGCTCCAGCCAACAATGGAAGACTCCAGCCAAGAGTGAGAGTGAAGTCTGGAGCCTTTCATAATTGTACACCGCTTTATACGTACACCATCCTCCACTGTTACGTCAGGACCAATAGTAACATTTGGTCCTATGCTGCAGTTATTGCCAATTTTTGCTGTGGGGTCCTAGGAAGAAAAATCGGAAAAAAGTTATAACACTTGGGCCATTCGGTTAGGACAATACCATATGTTAACTGATCCTCCTAGGCATCATTACGCCCTTTCAGATGGAGAAATGATTAAACAACTCAAACTGTCTCATCTTTTTTTTTGTAAGTGAAAAGGATAAAACACAAACTATGCTTCAACAAATTTTGGAATTAAGGAATCAATAAAAAAAATTTGTTAGGGACTGAGGGGAAATCCCTTTAAACCGTATCCATAATTGAGGGTGGCATGCAATCGATTAGGAAGAGTTATGTAAACACTACATTATAATATAATTCCAATGAAAGCTAAGTAGGTTCTTAAACAAATCACTCACCACAAGAACGTTCCCAACAAAGCCTGGTCCAGAATGGAGACATTCTGGATGTTTGTGTCTCACAGACTGCAGGTACATGCACATGCCGGTCAGGAAATCCTTAGGCTGTCCTATGTCCATCCAAAATCCTTGAAGCATAAAACAAATTCAACTGTTGGACACACTGTAAATCATTCACATGCTGAATGTACTACAAATACCATGATCACACGTTCTAGTGCTTTAGTGCAGTCTGAACTTGATCCTGCAGATCTTTCTGTGTGTGGTGTATTATAACCATTTTATTTAAACTCTTAACTATGCTCTGACTTATCAAATAGCTTAATCCTGTAAAGGCTGGTTAGTTAGGACATTTACATCATGGCTCAGAAAAATCCCAGGTCGCCATGGCAACTAGGAATTTTGCCCTAGTGACTGGGTGTTTGTCAGGCGGCTGTGAGCAATAGAGGCAGATGGCAATGCACATCAGAGCCGGGTGACGATCTTCTTGCTCTCTCACGTGCTAAGTAGTGATGCCGGGAGCAGGAATATGACCTCATTCTAACTTTGGCTCACTAAATGGCCACGCTACGAGCAGAGCAAGTAGATGACCCCAGGGAAAGGATCCACTCAAGCTCTCCCAAAGGTAGGGAGACTGGGTGGACTTAAATTAAAAAGCCATCCTTGATTCTGTGTTTAGACAACTTCTCCCTACCCCGATTGCATGTGAAATTTGTTTCTCAAATTTTCCCCATGCTGTGCCAGGATGGCCCAACCTCCATGGTTTAGATAATCTCCTCCAATCCAATGCTTTCCAATTGGAAAGCGCTGAGAGGATTGTTGATGTCAGTCAGCATCTCCTCCTAAAGATGCATTGAACCATGCTGAACGTATGTTCTGCACACTTTGCAGCACTCTATTAGATAGCACCTCTAGTGACCATCTGAGTGTCTGCCATTAGAGGTGTAACTAGCCAGCAATGTGAACACTGCCTTTTCTCTGAAAAGGCAATGTTTACATTGAAAAGCCTGCAGGCACATGTTATACTCACCAGAACTACATTATGCTGTAGTGGTGATCTCTAAAGTGTCACTAAGCACCACAACCACTTCATCTTAGTATAGCGGTAATAGTGTTAAAACTCTGTCCTGGTAGTTCTAGGGATAACACACAAAAAAAAAGTTATTCTATGTGTAGAGCAGCCTCCATGCACTGTCAATCAGGCAGATGATGCATTCACTTTCTGGCCAGGCAGCACAGTTTATCCCTGTGCCTGTCGCACAGCCAGCAGTAGCTCATTGCTAATACTAGCAGCACATTTAGATCTATGCAGTAGTGGGAGAATGCAAGGATTTTCTTCCCATTCACTGGCAACTTAATAATCTTTCTGGATGAAGTGCAGACCAAAAGAGGCAATTTTTAAGTTGCCAAACTTCCTTGTAGCCAGACATCTTCAAGAGGTAGTTGTCAATGCAGAATAGAGACTAATGCATTGTTGCCACAATGTCAGGCAAAAATAAATAAAAATTAAAAAACTCCAGAAACTATTTTTTTTCCAGAGGAAGAAAAAAAAAAAACCAGAAAACTATACAAGCCACTTTGTTGGGAATTTATATGCCATCAATTTGATGGCAAGAAGCTTGCAAGTTCCTATCATGCGCGGTTAGATTCTGGCTGGGAGTTAACATATACATCTGAGGTAAAGACATTGTCAGATAACCACTTGCTAAACAGCTTATGTGGAATAAAACTCCAGCTTTATCCAGTGAGTGGCTGTCTGATAAGAATACGTTTACAACAGCTTTATGTAGCAAGTCACCATTTTAATGGACACACAAAAATATCTAACGGGACACTATAGTCACCAGGACAACTATAGCTTATTGAATTTGTTCTGGTGAGGCTTTTTGCTGTAGGCAATGATTATACTCACCAGAACAACTACATTGAGCTGTAGTGTCCTCTTAACCTTCATTTTTGTTTTTCATGTGATGCTTCCTTTTACATTCATATTAAAGATTTAGCCAATTACATCACAATCCAGTTATGTCTGGACACAGGCAAGGCATGGATTGAAAATTCAAATGAGAATAAGAATCATTGTTTAATTTATCTTTTTTTTTTTTCTGCATACTTTGTCTGCTGACTGCCAGGTGCACAGGACACAGCATATAGCGATAACTTACAGGAGGCTAAACGATGGAGGCACTCTGTTACATGATGATTCTGATGATGACATAGCTGTTTTGTTATCTTCACTTCATTTTTCACACCACACAAATAAATATTTGTTGAATTATAGAGGATAAATAAACATAATATTCATAATTCTGGCAAGTTACAGTTCTCTTTTAAGTAATTCCGTTTATTACTAAGATGGCTACTTTCCATCTTCATTTTTTTTTTTTCTACTGGTGGAAAGCATGTGGAATGTTAGCCATCCAGCAGGGCAGCATTATGTGTGGAAAATTAGTTTTTACGGGTGTTGTATAGGTCAGTTTTGTGTACACAGTAATTATACTCCTGCCATACAGTGCTTGGATTCCAAACAGACAAAACTAAGCTGAATCACTTAACAGAAGGTGAGCAGCCACCAACTGTATCCTGGTAAGTGTTGGAGATCACTGAGAATTCTTTCACTAGCAGGAAGTAAAATCAACGAGTATTTGTATGTGCCAGTGTTGTACATTTCATATATATTACTGACTGGTTAATAACACATATATATTCAAAACTAAAGGACAGCTCACAAATATAAAAATATTTAAAGTGACACTATAGTCACCAGAACAACTACAGCTTATTGAATTTGTTCTGGTGTGTGGAATCGTTACCTTCAGGATTTTTGCTGTAAACACTGTCTTTTCAGAGAAAATACAGTGTTTACATTACAGCCTAGTGATAACCTCACTGGCCACTCCTCACATGGCTGTTAGAGATCCTTCCTGGGTCATGGCTGCCTAAAATGCATCCAAACATTCAGTATCTTCTCCCTCTGCATGCAGACACTGAACTTTCCTCATAGAGATTTATTGATTCAATTCATCTCTATGAGGAGATGCTGATTGGCCAGGGCTGTGTTTGAATCATGCTGGCTCTGCCCCTGATCTGCCTCCTTGTCAGTCTCAGCCAATCCTATGGGGAAGCACTCTGATTGGATCAGGCTACCACTTCTGATGATGTCAGCAAACAGCTAGTTTTTCTGAGACAAACAGCATGCAGAGGTACAGCTTCTGGCTTGAATACAGTAAGATTTTGCTATATTTATGGAGGCATGAGGGTCCCAGGGGGGCTAGATGGTGGTGTTAACACTATAGGGTTAGGAATAAATGTTTGTGTTCCTGACTCTATAGTGATCCTTTAATTGTTATGGTCAGTATAATCAGTCCCTTCAGGGTTTTTTTTTTTTTAATGTAAACACTGCCTTTTCAGGGCAAAGCAGTGTTTACATTACGGCCTAGGAACACCTCTAGTAGCAGTCACTCAGACTGCCACTAGAGGTGCTTCCTGGGTCAGTTCAGCGTTGACACGCATTGCATGGAGATGCTGAACGTTCCTCATAGACATGCATTGATCCAGGGCATCTCTATGAAGAGATGCCTTTTGGCACACCGTGGTGGTTTGCTGCGCATGCGCAAGAGCCTTTCAATGTTTTCCTATAGAGGCAGAGCTATCTGTGACAGATCTGCCATAAAAGGTATGTTTATTACCTTTTTAAAGTGTTCCATGGGGGGCTGTCTGCCTCAACTGTGTAACACTATAGTGACATGAATACATGTTTTTATTGCTGTCACTATAGTGTTCCTTAAAAACTGTACGATTAACTAATACAGCTCTAAAGCTTTATAGATAATATGGAATAGATATTTGTCCTCAACAGTTCTTTTAGAATTGTTACTGCTGGCATTTTCCAAACAAACAAGGAAGCAAGTGATAGGATAAAACTGGGATGGGTCTTCATTAGCTGCATGGCCAGTAAGTTTTTGGAGCTTAGGAAAGATTTCGGCAATTTGTATTAAATGCACAGAGCAGATACTCCTTTCAAGGCAAAAACATAAACCCCAAGAAGCTATTCTATATATAAAAAAAAAATCTAAAAAAAAAAAAAAAAGCAAAAATAATCCATACAGACGTGATGGCATGCATCTCAAAAAGTTGGAAAACCAAGATTATTCTTTTAACCTGGTAATGTTGGAGAACTGACCAGGCATTTGCCAAAACAATTCTCCACTATTTCCCCCTATGTAACAGGTGGAAACGCTTAAAGGGTCAGACTAAGAGTCAAGCCATGATGGGTGGGATATTCTCTTTAGATTTGGTATTGCTCCCTGGTTAGCCAGAAGATCTAATGTAATAAATTTCATGTGTTTATCTACGATATGTTGCTGTCCCAAGTTTGTTCAATCATTCTCACCTTGCAATTCCATAGCAAATAACTGCCCCTCCTGAGCCATGGCTGGGAAAATCTCCTTTTCTATAGAGGTTGGGCGTAGCTAGAATGAAGACAGACAAAGCTATTTTTTAATATTTATTCAATATGAATAGTTCATGAGCTTGTGTAATTTAATAATGGCTGACCTTTGCACAGCAGATTTGTATTTTATTTGTAAACTGCATTTCTCATGATGCTCAGCCAGCCCAAATGTATGTCCACAGACATCTGTAGTGCTACAGTTACCCATCACTGGTCCAACAACTCAATCTATTTTTTAAAATGTACCAGAGTAAAAACAGGATGGATATTGATGGAAACAGTGGCTCTGCTGGGGTTTGTCAGTTACATTAGCTAACATTATATTGTCATGTCCATCTTTGGAAAAGGAAAAACATCTATCATATGACTGCAACTGGCTAAAGCTGTAGGACACCTAACCCCTCAGTAGAGCGAATAGAAGATTTAAAAAACAAAACAAAAACATCATGCTTGCTGTCGGCTGTAGTGGAGGTGGGGAGAGGTAGCTAGTGGAATCCAGGTAATAAGTTAAACCAGGGAACTTGTGAATCAAGAATGGTTTCTGTAGTGTTACGTCCGTTAATACCCAACCATTTCTGATGGGCAGTGATATCTTACTTAATGTGTTAATAGGGTCAGAATGAACAATACAAATTAATTGAAAACCACTAAAATGTAAGAATGTGTTTAAAGAGACACCGTAAGCACCATAACCATATCGGTTCAGTGTAGTGGTTGCAGAGCAATGAGTCTGAGTGCAGTCCTTGTTATGTGATAGGGAGGTTTAGTCCAGAATTTATAGCCCATCATTAATGACCAAACTTGGACAGATTTGCATGGATAATGCAAAAAGTGAAATCCCATTATCTCTTTGGCAGCATAATGGCTGGAATTTTGGGCTTTAGAGCTATACCCATATCCTCTTGCACTATAACCCCTACAGTAAGCTGTAGTGGGGTTTGATGTTTAGCATGTTCTTTGGAAGTTTGCCCAATACTTGTAAGGCTTATAAGAGATACTCCTCAGACCGCGAGCGTGTGTTTTCCTGGCATAGAAGGAAACTTGAAGACAGAAGCCAGAAGTATATTTCAGAAGGTGTATTATTGTACTATTATTGTACTCTTAGTACTCTGGTACTATTAATCCCTTAAACAGAGTGTGAATTACTCGGAATTTAAAGCAAATTTCATATTTTAGACTTAAATAGCAGAACATTCTCCATGCTAGATATGGTATATTTCCTGCTCAGCTACTCTGACTTACAATTTTTCACTTTGAATTCCCGACAATTCTCATTTTATTTAACAACCCTGTAAATGTTTTGATGTATTTTGATATTCACTTTTATAGAGTTTTTTTTAGATATCAATCTGATTATTTTGGTTATGGTAAGGTCTTGAACAGTGGTTTTTTACACTTTCTTTAGAGCCACAGTAATGGAGGATTTCTTTTATTTCTTTTAATAATGATGTTGACGTTCCTCTGCGCAAGCAATCTTAGCAGCCAGTTGTTAATATCAGAACACATGCAATTGTGGGAAAAATTACAGCTAAGTTCAACAGGAACTGGTGATAATATGGCCAAGTGAAACACTAAAAAATGCCCTATTTAAATAGCCCATGTGGCCTTCTCTTACAAAAGGTAAGCCACGATGGTTGTAAAGTGAAGTGAAGGTGGGGGCTAGGGTCTTTGCAGCTGCGGGATACACAAGGTCTGGGAATTTCCCTATGAAAATGTGTGACAAAATGGTTAAATGAAAAGTATCATTTAGCTCTTAGTGTAATATACTAGGGGGTGTACGTTCAATAACTTATGACAAAAATAAACTATTTTTCATATTTTCCTTTTTAATATATTTTGTTGATATGTAATAAAGTGCTATGCATATATATTCCAGGTATCAGAAGAAAAATATCTTTAAAAAAAAAATTACAAAATAAAAAAAATAAAAATAATAAAGGGTGTGTATGTATGTATATACATAGATATATATATATATATATATATATATATATATATATATATATATATATATATATATATATATATATATATATATATATCTATCTCAATTCTAATCAAGAAATCATTCTCAAATTTTTTTATTATTCACACTTGAAGAGAGTAATAGTTTATTAAAGGAATACTACAGGGTCAGGAACACAAACATGTATTCCTGACTCTATACACTATAGTCACCAGAACAACTACATTAAGTTGTTGTGGATACTATAGGGTCCTTTAAGCTAAATACCATGTACCTCATTTAAATTCAGAGAAAATAAATAAATAAAGTTAACCACTGGTCTAGAGAAAAATACCTGTATACGATCCAGTATAGAGGGACAGAACATGTATAGTCCTGAGTTGATCTTGTTGGACACAAAGACCTGAGGTTTCTCCACAAAGCGCTGAATCTGTCCAGTCTCTGCTTCATATACAACAACCCCATACTTGGATGGTTCCTCCACCTTCGTTACCTGCAGGAAAGATAAAGAGACATCAGCTTCTTTGTTCACTTGAAACAAAATTTATACTGTGTCCTGCAAGATTGTCAAATTCTACCGGGAGAATATAATTTATCATGACTATTCGGTAAACTGCGAATACTTAGGAAGTTGAAGTGAATTTCAATTGAGGCCAAAGCAGTTGAACTAAAAATATATCTGACTTGGAGAACTTTTTTTTAGCCTAAAATGTGAAATTTACTTTGAATTCTCAACAACCTTTAGTGAATAACCCTACTTAAGCTGCTACTGTCACTTAGTGCATATACCCACCACAATGGTGCCTTCCTTTCCATGATGCTTGTGAAAGCGGACCATGTCCTCAAATGGAAAGTCGCAGATCACATCGCTGTTGAGCACGAAGAAAGGCTCCATGTTTTCAGTCAGTAGGTCTCGAGCTAAGGCTAGTGGACCAGCTGTGTTCAAAATGCAAAGGTTCACATAGAACTGAATACGAAATCAAGATGTTCAAGAAGAAGACAGCTCAAGACAGAAAGGGGCCATTAAAAGCTATATCTCTATTGCAGTATTATTGCATCTTTGAATGACAAGAACACACTTCTTTGTGGTGTGATGCTAGTTTAAAATATACACTGTCCTGCAAGGTGTGAACATTAAATAGCCAAAGCAATCACCATATTTATGCACCTCTGCAATCAATTTCAACATGTTTATCATTTACATATGGTTTGTGGTTTTTGTATTGAGCATCAGGTGTTGCCAACTCTGTTTTATTTATTTTTTTAAATGTTATTTATTTTTTAAAATGATATATTTATTTTTTGCTAATCCAGGAACTGTACTGAAGAGAGACAAGGGAATTTGACAAACAAACCGTCATAAAAGGCTGAATATGACTTCTGTGCAATTCTGTTGACAATTCTCTATAGGCTCCCAGCTTAGCAAATAAATGCAAATGTGTTTAGGGATATACCACATGAAAAGAAAGCAGAAAAAATAAAATAATCTACTCACCTGTTCCTAGAGGCTCCTTTTCATGCGACATGGAGATGCGGATTCCCAGCTGTGATCAAATAATAGCGGAAGTTAGTTTGCTTCGATCAATATCCTTTACAGTCAGCAGTATCCCCATCTATCCAAGCTATTGTAAGGAGACCTGTAATTACTACTGAAAGATCTGACAGTCTGCCAGCGTGGATTTGGCTGTCAAGGAATTGTGTAATATTTTTTTCAAAACAGTGACAGTTACAAAACTGCCCCAAAAATTTTTTTTGAAGTGTTATATAAAAATGCCAATATATTTTAAAGAGTGCACTTGCCATAAAATAATTTCCCTTTAAAGAGCATAACCATTCAATTTGGGGAGATTACATTTATTCGGCTATGCTGTTTCAATGGTTGTGGATGTGTCTGGGGGGTCCCATAATGCTTTAGCATTTAGGAATTGAGCCATATGTATTAGGAAAGTATGAGAACGTTTGTACAATCTGGAGTTAATTTAAACATGTTCTCTCTTTGCTGGTACCATGTATCTGTTTTATTTTACCATTTACCAATAACAGGTCCACATAAAGATATATGAATTTTCGGTCATTTCATCATAAACAGTTATCTATTCCTAGCAGGAGAAAATATTTGTTCTCATGGACAAACAAACAGAAACAACACAATGAATTTCCCATTTCTGCTGCCAGATCACTTATAGAATGCAGGATCAGGTTCCATGTCAATATGCAATGAGAAAGAATCACATTGACATAAAATGGCGTTTATTAAGGCTACTAGTGAGTGCTACTAAAAATTTATTTTAGGACTAGTGCTGGAGCTTTCTTTGCTGTTGATTCCATAGGTTAAACAGAAAAAAAAATTATTTGCTCACAAAATTGTGCCTTGAGTGAGACTAGTTTCTTCTCACATACATTAAGTTTATTTAAAAGTTGCCAAGATGGAAATGTATTAAAATCATAGAATTTTTCAAATTTGTTTATTTTAGCCACAAATTTGAATTTTTTTTTAAAAAAAAATACCTGTTTATTGGATAATAGGAATGCATGGGAATGCTACGGAGCATGTGTGACAAAACTCCATGCTGCGCCAATCAGCATCTCCTCATAGAGATGCATTGAACTTAATGCAATTCTACAGGGAGCATTCAGTGTCTCCATGCAGAGCGTGGAGATGCTGAACATCATTGCAGCATTGACCAGGAAGTGACTGTTACTAGAGATGTAACTAGCCAGCCTACATGAAAAGGTAGTGTCTATAGCCTGTCCTTCAGGCTTTTCAATATAGACACCAGAAACACTACATTGAGCTGTAGTTGTTTTGGTGACTATAGTGTCCCTTTAAGGCTCAACAGATTCATGTGTAAAGACCTGCAGAGTTAGCAATAGAGAAGCAATAGGTGAAACATGACAAACATGAAACATAAATAAATGCATTCATCTTTTTCAGACATTACTTACCCTCTTCTCCTGCTCCTTCATCTCCTTCTCCAACATGTCAGACATGTAGCTGACTGCCAGGATGACATGATTAACACCAGCCTGTCCAAGAAACATAACAGACAGTCGTTGATTAGAATTTGTTATGTAAACTGATTGACAAAATCAGACTGAAATACACACAAAAAAAAAACAAAAAACACACAGGTATTTGTTTTCCAATTTTCTTTTTTTTTTGCTATGCACACATTATTTATAGAATATATAAAAGATATAAATAATCCAGGCGCACACACGCACACAAAAAAGATCAGATGACAAAATGCAATCAAGCTACAGAAGGACAAAGATATATAATTACCTTTAATATACATTCTATTTATAAAAATACCCAATAATATGAATGATATTTAGACTTACAATGAAGAATCAGAGAAAGAGAAACTGTACACCACAAAGCAAATCTATAAAATTCTGAGACAGATTTGTAGAATCAGCAGGATAAAATTGCTTGGCAGTAAAAAAAAATTATTTTTTAAATGGTCTTCTAGATCACTATATCTTAAGTAGCCTGCTTAAAAATAATAATACAAAATGATTGTACAATAAAATATATATTATACACACACACACTCACATACATACATATATACACACACACACACACACACACACACACACTATTTGACAGGTTTTTAGTATGTAAGTTAAGAATGTTTCTTGGGATACAGAGATTATTACTTAACTGAATAGATTTATTGGCCTTAGAATGATGAAAGGCCAAGCTGAAAATTTGATCTGGGCTTTTAATATGTGAGTTGTTCTGAGTTAGTTGGTGGTTAGTACTCCAGCAGAAATATTTCAGTATGTATTCAAAGATATTAAAACATTGCTTTGTGAGAACATGACTTGCAAAGTGCTCTATAAATGGGAAGGCAGAGATGGCCTATCTATAACCCCAAGGAATCATTATAACTTGGGCTGTTTATTGAATGCACCACTAGGGGGTACTCCAAGGCGGTTTATTAAATAGAGTCCCAAGGGCCAATTACAGGCAGTTTATTGAGTTTATTCCCTAGGGATTCGTTTAATTTTAGTGTTTAACTTTTGTAATTGTTATAATGAGTCTTCTGTATGCAGGTGCGTATAAAAATAATAATTGGTATGCAAACTAAAAAAATATTCAGTAGAATCACTATTATAGTTTGGATCAAATGAATGTACATAATGTATACATCTATTCTATATATGTTCCGAATAAAGTATTTTGTAAAGTATAAGCAAAGTATTTTTGCTCTAAATCAAAGAGGAAAAATAAGCATGGGTTACATTCGAAATAAAATCATTCTTTTAAATCAGGTTCCACAATGAATTTCTGTAGCTTTGTGCATTGTGTAGGTAAATTAGGGACATTATAAAAGATGGATCTTCTAGGTTAGCATACATAGGAGCCCCGAGTGCTAGAGCGTAGCTTCAATTACCAGATTTAATGGGACAGTCCTGTGTGTAATATCTAGTGTCCCCCAATAAGTGCAATGTGAGTGCATAATTAGATATGTTTACAATGTGCAAACAGAGGTCAGACCATTCAGCCCATGAGAGCATTTGCCAATGCCGTGGGAATAGGCTACCCTGAATTGGACTGGGCCACTATTAAAACAGGTAGGACTGAACGCCAGGACATTCCTGGTACCAAAACCACAACATAGCACTGTAGTTGTTATGGTTCTTGGAGTGTTCCTGTAAACTGTTTTTTTCAGCCATTTTCTTAATGTGTTTCATATATTTTATCACTATAGGATTTATTCAGTGTCTTGTGAAAGAGTTGTTACTTCACAACTGAAATGGCATATAAGGAATGCAGTGTCACAATTAACCATAGATCAATATAGCCATAGAGTCTTACCTTCACGAGAGCCTCCACCTGGTGCAGTAGGATGGGCTTGTTGCAGAAATCCACCAATGGCTTTGGCACACTGAGGGTGAGTGGGCGTAATCTGGTGCCATAGCCACCCACTAAGATTAAAGCCTTCATGTCTATCTGCAGAAAAGCATAAATTCTTATTGCAGACACACAGCATTTTATAGCAAGTACTCATAACGTGATCGAACAAGTGCCATACTCTGAGACTCTCACATGTATGACAGCACATCCAATGTAGAGAGGACAAAATATTGCAGCTATGTATGTATGTTGTGTTTATTTGAAAGCTAATGTTAAATGAGAATATCCTTTCTATTAAATGAATAAATAAATATATGGGTCCTTGTTATGTGTTTATCTGACTAACCATGTATTTTTTAATGCATACTGCAGAGAAGTGACCTAGAGATTTATTTTTTATAAATTAACCTGGAAGGGTTGAAAACACAACTAACTTGTAAACACCACAGTTGTAAGTTTTACACAAATCCAAATGTAGATGAAGTCTGGCTTTTCATGTATACACGAATTATTTAGTGCATTTTATATAAAATACGTAGTGTATGCATGTGCATTTTATTATTCTAAACTGCCACACTGTGTATTAAAAACTGCAATAAATAAGAACAGGTGTTCAGTCAAACAGCATAGATGCAATCAATCCACTGTAAGACAAGATAGTATAAAACCACTCTAGTTTTTTTTTGGTAATTTTGGCCAGTTACAGCTGTGTTCGATAGTAGCTGGTTTTCTCAGGTAAATGTGTGATCTGTTACAAAAGAATGCCATTCTTACATATAAACCTCTCAAAGTATGTATCAGTGTCTCTAAGTGACAAACTGGATCACAGCAGAAACAACTGTAGGCATAATAGACATGTAGGCATAATAAAATACACCGGCTCATTCAAGCAGCATGGTATATGTATTTCTATTCTCACAAACTTATTTATCACCTTTTCTAATATATTCATTACATTGCATTTAAAACCTCCCACAATGCTGTGCGTTTCCAAAGGCAATTCTGTATGTATTGCAGTGATGTATGTGGCATTCAAGTGCTTTTACTCTATTGCTTTAACTTATCATTGTATCACGATAATAAGTACTGTTTGCAGCACCAATAATTCCTCATCTCAGAACGTGACAAAAGGGGAATTTTTTCGCCCAGCCTCAAGACTGACCTGTCATTACCTGTTAAGGATAAATGTTACCAGGTTAGTCTTATGGGAGAATAAACCTCAATTGTGTAACTTTCTGGACTGAGGATATATTGATAATGATTCATTTGGGGTTCAAGAGGTGGGTGGGGGTCTTCGAATAGGTAATATTGTAGAAATGCCCCTACTGTGTGCTCATATTTTAAAATCACTGTTTGGGTTTCAGAATGACATACAGTAAGTTGAAAGCTGTCTGATTAATAGACATTGTGTGGTCTATTTTTTTTTTTTTTTTTTTTTAAATCTAAGTGACAAAGTCATTGTGAAATTCCTTCTTCAGAATCATGCTACAAATGTTCATAAAAAATAAAAATGCTGATTTCAGTGGTTACATGAGGATTAAAGAGATATAATTGGATTCTATATTTATGCGCAGAATTACATTTAAAAATGTCCAATAAAGGGATATTTAAGATTATTCAACAAATGGGGTAATGTGTGTAATTTACAAGAGAATTGCAAAACTGCTCAATTGGTCTAAATTGTCATTTACCTTGTCATCTCTCCACATTTCCCTGTTAAGATACTCTAATCATTATAACCAACTAAAGCCTGCTGTAATGCCTATGATGCCAGAACTAACCTGGCCAGTTCTCCAATAATGGAGCAAGCCATTTAGCCAAGGTTTGCCCCATTACATGGGTCCCTGCTGAAATCCGAGGATCTGTTGTCCGATGACACACTTCTGGCTTCTGCTGAGCTGCAGAAGCTGTGGCTATTCAGCATTCTTTGGCTGAGAGTGTCAGCTGACCACTCTCAACCAATGACATTCTCTACAGCAAAACTTGAGTTGTGGGCTGGCGGATGACACTGCTGGAGGTGGCATTACACTGCTGGCAGGAAAGGGGTTAAACTCCCTATGTGTCGCATTTCATAGCAAAACGCTGCACTTACAGACTCCAAACGCCATGATCACTTCACATCACTGAGGTGGTCATGGTGTGTGGAGTCATTTTTTAATGAATTTCCATAAAAATAGACAACACTCCACAGTGGCATATAGAAACAGGACATGACTAATGGCTATAAATGGAATATATACACTCAATTCAATAAATGAAACTAGATGACTGTAAACTCACGCAAAGGTGTGGCTGTCCCTCCCAACACTGCTCAAAACAGGTTCCCTTCACATTCCTACATAAGATAACAAAAGAAACGCATTTCCTGGTTTTCAAATTGTGCTTCTATGTGAATGAAAGTCAAAAACTGGACAATACCAATGTGACGGAGTGGAGTAAAATTTCCCTTTGCTGTTCATTCAATATGTTTTCTGACTACAGAGGTTGTTTAGCAGGTTTTTGAGACAAAAAAGTTTTATTCCAAGTAGCTATTTTATTTTTCTGCAGCACAATCGCTTCAGATGGGTTGTTTCTATATTACAGTGTCACCGTGTGGCTAACAATCAAAATACTGATCTTTTGTGGCAACAGTGAAAACTAGGGATTGACGGATATTAATTTTTAAGGGCTGATACAGATTATTTTTGTCCTATGGGCTGAAAACTGGTAGCGATATTCTTCCCTCCTCCCTGCCTCTTACCTGTGGCCAGGAAGGGGACCATTATACTCCCTGGTGGTCCAGTGGCTTTGTGCAGGCTGCCAGGAGCTTTCACATTGTGGAGGGAGTGTCTGGAACTCTGTTTCCAGTAAGTTCTCATTCCAGGTCCCACGAGACTTTATGCTGCGCGAAGATTTGGCGAGGTAATTACCCTGTTGTGTCTAAAGTGTTTTTTTATTTTTAAAGACACCTTGGACGCAACTGGGTGATCCCTAAATCCTTGACTGTAAGGGGCTACTTGAGGACTGGGTTGAGAACCACGGATTTAAACCAATACTTGCCAAAATGCAGACTATCGGCCAAACCGATAACCAGTCGAACCATACTGTACTGTAAGGATTACTTAGCTATACATAATGGCACCTGTGCTCACCAACACCCATTAACAAGCCATTACCATCATGCAGCAGAGAATTCTGTACCCACCAACTGCCTTTCAAGACAGCAAGCCATTATCATCATGCCACAGAGCCTTCTGTGCCAACCAAGAATAAGTTACATAATTAAAAATAGAGGCATACAGTGTCCTTTTCAGCACTGACAACCCAACTATAGGTTGGTTAGTTAGTTAAAATTATATTTTGTATTGTCTTGCAATTTATGGTCTAGACTCTAGACTTATTTGATATAGATGTTTTAATTGCTGTTGAACTGAACCCTGACGCTTTATCACACACTAAACTAATAAATGGGAACTATTAGACTTGGAGATCAGTTTGGTCTGAATTTAAATTTGCCTGGATTGGTGCATTTTCAAATTTCTGAAATTCCAACCATAATTTATCTAAATTTAGAATAAACTGAGTAGCGTGATAGCCTGTCCGATTCAGCACATATGGAATTCGGAATTAGTGATTGAATGTTGGTGCTAAGTGGCAACTTTACACCAACATTCAATCACTAATTTAGGGTAAGAGAGTTTTTATAGGAGAATATGCAAATTTTTTCCTTCATCGTAGAGCTTCTCTGACAATTTTCGGTTTTAAAATTACATTTCAAATCAACATTTTCTCAACTAAATTTTTTGGAAATCCAAAGCAATTCAATTCAGAAGTATCACACATTTTTGCAATGCACACGTCTAGAAACTAGGCAACCTAATCCTACCTAAAAATACCAAAATAATCATACCAGAACTTTAGGACTTGCATTCTGGTGAACCTTGGAGAATTGAAAATATTATCCAATTTAGTTTGTCATATACCTCTACCTTACATACCTGTCTCTTGCTCTCTCCTAAAGGGCAGCACTCTACTATCTCCTCCAGCTCTGACTCACTCCCACCTTATTTAATTGCAAATTCCTGTCCTATTGTGTTTTACACCCCACCTCCTATAGACTGTAAGCTCGTTTGAGCAGGGCCCTCTTGTCCTATTTATAGTTAAATTCCCCTCTCTTATAATATTGTAAAGCGCTACGGAATCAATTGGCACTATATAAATGGCAATAATAATAATAATAATAATAATAATATATTCTACATTGAGAGATCTAATGTATACAGATTTACTTCCTGACTAAAAAAAAAAAAAAGTCTAATATGATTTTTGCAAATAATACTAATATAAAAGTAGTTTAAAGGACAACTGTCACATCAAAAATAGTGTTTATATAATAATTATTTCCTCAAGTGTTGAAAGGAAATATATATATTTGTTTTGTCCTGATGAAAGCTCCATGAGGGAGCTGAAACGTTGACTTTTTAAATGGATTGAATAAAAGTTAAATTTTATTTGAAAATCTCTATAAAGTCCTTGGAGTGCGGTCATTTCTGATATATATATATATATATATATATCCAAAGGTGCAGGCATATGGCCGAAGGGTCTAAAGGTAGGGATGAGTTCTCCATGTCCTTTTAATGTTTGATAAACAGATTATTAAAGATCACTATAGGGTCAGGAACACAAACATGTATTCCTGACCCTATAGTGTTAAACCCACCATCTAGCCCCCCTGGGCCCCTCATACCTCCAAGTTCAGTGTCTGTATGCAGAGGTAGGAGATACTGAATGTTTGGATGTATTTTAGGCAACCATGACCCAGGAAGGATCTCTAACAGCCATGTAAGGAGTGGCCAGTGGAGTTATCACTAGGCTGTAATGTAAACACTGTATTTTCTCTGAAAAGACAGTGTTTACAGCAAAAATCCTGACGGTAATGATTCTACTCACCAGAATAAATTCAATAAGCTGTAGTTGTTCTGGTGACTATAGTGTCACTTTAAATATATTTATATATTTGTGAGCTGTCCTTTAGTTTTGAATATATATGTGTTATTAACCAGTCAGTAATATATATGAAATGTACAACACTGGCACATACAAATACTCGTTGATTTTACTTCCTGCTAGTGAAAGAATTATCAGTGATCTCCAACTCTTACCAGGATACAGTTGGTGGCTGCTCACCTTCTGTTAAGTGATTCAGCTTAGTTTTGTCTGTTTGGAATCCAAGTACTGTATGGCAGGAGTATAATTACTGTGTACACAAAAAACTGACCTATACAACACCCGTAAAAACTAATTTTCCACACATAATGCTGCCCTGCGGGATGGCTAACATTCCACATGCTTTCCACCAGTAGAAAAAAAAAAAATGAAGATGGAAAGTAGCCATCTTAGTAATAAACGGAATTACTTAAAAGAGAACTGTAACTTGCCAGAATTATGAATATTATGTTTATTTATCCTCTATAATTCAACAAATATTTATTTGTGTGGTGTGAAAAATGAAGTGAAGATAACAAAACAGCTATGTCATCATCAGAATCATCATGTAACAGAGTGCCTCCATCGTTTAGCCTCCTGTAAGTTATCGCTATATGCTGTGTCCTGTGCACCTGGCAGTCAGCAGACAAAGTATGCAGAAAAAAAAAAAAGATAAATTAAACAATGATTCTTATTCTCATTTGAATTTTCAATCCATACCTTTTCTGTGTCCAGACATAACTGGATTGTGATGTAATTGGCTAAATCTTTAATATGAATGTAAAAGGAAGCATCACATGAAAAACAAAAATGAAGGTTAAAAGGACACTACAGCTCAATGTAGTTGTTCTGGTGAGTATAATCATTGCCTTTAGGCATTTTTATGCAAACACTGCCTTTACATTGCCCCTAGGGACACCCCCAAGTGGCCACTCCTCACATGACCACTGGAGGTGCTTCCTGGCTCAGTGCTGCACAGTAGGCAGCACTGATGTTCAGCGTCTCCCCGCTCTGCATGGGGATGCTGAATTTTCCTCATAGAGATGCACTGATTCAATGCATCTCTATGAGGAGGTGCTGATTGTCCAAAATGGTGTTTGGCCCCGCTCCCTTGCCGATTTTAGCCAATCCAATGCTTTCCCCATGGGAAAGCCACTTTAATGGTGGGTTAAACACTATAGGGTCAGGAATACATGTTTGTGTTCTGTTAAAGGACCACTATAGGCACCCAGACCACTTCAGCTTTAATGAAGTGGTCTGCGTACCTGGTCCAGCTAGGGTTAACCCCCTTTTTTATATATATATATATATATATATATATATATATATATATATATATATATATATATATATATATATATATATATATATATATATACACACACACACACACACACATAGCAGTTTCAGAGAAACTGCTATGTTTATAAATAGGTTAATCCAGCCTCTAGTGGCTGTCTCTTGACAGCCGCTAGAGGCGCTTGCGTGCTTCTCACAGTGAGAAGACGCAAGCGTCCATAGGAAAGCATTATGAATGCTTTCCTAGGAGACTGGCTGAATGCGCGCACAGCTCCTGCCGCGCATGCGCATTCAGCCGAAGAGGAGGAGGAGGAGGAGAGCTCCCCGCCCGGCGTGGAGAAAGGTAAGATTTTAAGCCTTTCCTCTCCCCAGAGCCCGGCGGGAAGGGGTCCCTGAGGGTGGGGGCACCCTCAGTGCACTATAGTGCCAGGAAAACGAGTATGTTACATAGTGATATTCAATGGTGCTATTTACCGACAAATGATAGTTTCAATAAACAGTTTTGATAAAGTACTTCATCACCCACCAAACGAAAACCATAGTAATCACATACTGACAACCACTAGAGGCACTTCTGCTGTAACAACCACATTTGACGCCTAACATAATCAAATACATAGTATTTTATTGGATACGCAGGCTCTGCACATCAGGTCCCCAATGCTCTCCTCTAAGAAGCACTGGATCAGCGACAAGGATACGGCACCTTCTCATTGTAGGAGATAGATTAGACAGCAGCACTGAGAGAGTATCGGCGCTGGGAAAAGGGAAGTAAAAACCTTTATTATCTTAATATTTGTGTGGCATTGAAGGTTATCAATGACACTAGAACATCCCGCAGCAGAAGTTATGTTGGCCCTGGTACCTTCCAGGGGAAAGTATTGAAACCGTATGAGAACGGTCGAGGAAGGCATTCGTTGGCTGAGAGTGAGACGTTCACCGCATGGTGCTTTGGTTTTTCCTTTAAACAGTAATACTACAAATACAGCAATATCTTCAAACAGAGAGCTATCCAATGGAGCTGAGTAAAGGACATTACGGATATAACTACAACTACATGTCTGTTCGTCCGCCCATTGTAAAGCGCTGCGGAATTTGACGGCGCTCTATAAATATCATAATAATAATAATAATCTGCGGTGTGTCATAACTAATGAAATAAAATGTACATTGTATATAATTAAATATATTATTATAATAATAATAATAACTAGGTTACCAATAAGCAGACCCCCAGCTGTTGCAGAACTACAACTCCCATGACACCTCAAGGCCTGCAAAGCATCACGGGAATTGTAGTTCTCCGCCAGCTGAGGGGTGTTTCCTCCCGGCCCCCCCAGTGTCAGTGCCCTAATCAGAGCCCCGGTTAGCAGCACTCACCGCCCGGGCTCCCACTTGTCACCAGCCTCTTCCAGCTCAGCACCATTCAAACACATGACGTCACCGGGTTACAAGTCACGGGGCGGGGCTTCCCATCCATTTCCGTTGCGGAGTGCAGCTCACACACCGGCTCGGTATTTCCACGAGAAGGCAGCCCTCTCCCCCCCTGTCTGACCGGGGCTCTCCTCCGCTGCCGGTAACCAGCTTACCAGGGCTCCTCACACACTGCAGAAAGGCCGGAGAGCCATGCGCTTCGCCGTTGCTTGGTAACAATCTCCACCAATCCGCTGGCGCGCCGGTATTTGGCGCGTAGCTATTGGTCTAGAGGGATCTCCTAGGCAACAGTAACGCCTCCTTGTTTACGACGCGCACCAATGAGCGTCTGACGCACCCGCCAGTTGGCGAGAGAGCTGATTGGAGAATTTGGCGGCCAATCGGAAGAGGAGGGTGACGTGCGGCGACGGTGACAGCTCCAGCAAGACGGAAATAGATGGATATGGATTAGGAGGGCGGGGCGGCCGAACGTGACGTCAGTTTAGGCACGTGATGTAGTGATTGCATCTATAAAGCCGCGCCCATAGAGCCGTAGTAAAGGACCCATATTGATTGAATCCACTGCTCAAAACAAAGATGGCTGCCCCAGCATCGTAACATAGTCTCAGTCATTGGTTGCTACTAGTTACCAACCCAAGCATTTCCGGGTTATCGGAAAGAATTGAAAAAAGATACATTTGCTTGAAATCCAGGAGCCAGTTTAACCCCTTAAGGACACATGACATGTGTGACATGTCATAATTCCCTTTTATTCCAGAAGTTTGGTCCTTAAGGGGTTAAAAAAATTTTTTAAAAAGCTTGCAGACAGTTTTTTTTTCTTTCTAGCAAAGCTTTATTTTCAACGACCAAAATAACAGATCTTAAAGTGACACTACATTCACCAGAAACACTACAGATATGGCTAGGCTGAGATCATCAAGATTGATGATCCCAGCCATTATCCCTGCGCTGTCACCATCACAACATGGATAAAAAAAACACACCTTTCCCATGCGATTGGAAGGGGGGTCCCCTAAACAGACACACCCTGATGCGAGGGGCGGGGGGGTGAATGCCTTCCTCGACCGTTCTCATACACTTTCAATACTTTCCCCTGGAGGCGGTCCCCTAAACAGACACACGCTGGCACGGACAGATATTTTCTCACACACTCACAAATTATTATTTTTTATTTAAGCCCACCCAGCCTCGCTACCTTTGGGAGAGCTGGAGTGGCTCCTTTCCCAGGGATCCAGTGGGGATGCGGTAAACTCCAAGCTTTTCTTGCTCTGCCATGGCGACTAGAAATGTTGTCCTGGTAATTGGGTGTGAGGCAGCCAGACAGGGGAGCACGGAGGCAGTGAGGAAGCAGTACTCTTTTTGCAGTTCTTGCTCTGCTCCCTCGCATGCTGTTTAATGATCTGGAATAAAACACTCCGGGCCCAGCGTCACTAAACAGCACGAGAGCAGAGCAAGAACTGCAAGAGGAGTACTGCTCCCTCGGCCACGCGCCTCTGCTGAATGGGCTGACAAACACCCAGGCGCCAGGACAACATTTCTAGTCGCCATGGCTACTGTAGTACCCATCTTAAAAAAAAATCTCTTGACCTGTCTGCCCCTTCCATAGTCCCGTATCCCTGCTCCCTTTTTCCTCAAAGCTTCTGGAAAGACTTGTCTTTACCTGTCTGACTTGCTTCCTCAATTTCAACTCTCTTTTTGACCCCCTTCAGTCTGTCTTCCACCCCCTCCACTCTACTGCGACTGCTCTTATTAAAGTCACTAACGACCTAATCATAGCTAAATCCAAAGGGCACTACTCCATACTAATCCTTCTTGGCCTCTCTGCTGCCGTTGACACTGTTGACCATGTTCTCCTTCTCAAAACTCTTCAATCACTTGGTCTCTGTGACACTGTCCTCTCTTGGTTTTCCTCCTATCTCTCCCAATGCTCATTCAGTGTCTCCTTTTCTAATAATACCTCCTCCCTTCATCCTATCTCTGTTGGAGTCCCCCAAGGCTCTGTACTTGGTCCACTTCTATTTTCTCTTTATACTGCCTCTCTTGGCAAACTTATTACCTCATTTGGATTCCAATACCACCTGTACGTTGATGACACTCAGATATGGCAATCCTCCCCGACCTCTCCCCTGCCGTCCTGGAACGTGTCACTGCTTGCCTTTCTTCCATCTCTGATTGGATGTCCTCCAGCTTTTTGAAACTCAATCTCTCTAAAACTGAACTCCTTGTCTTTCCTCCTCCTAATACTGATCCCCCTCTTTAACTCTCCCTTCAAGTGAGTAGTGCCCACATCAGTCCATCCTTGCAAGCGCGCTGTCTTAGCGTTATACTTGATTCTGGCCTCGCATCCAGTCTGTTACCGAATCTTGTAGATTCCACCTAAAAAACATAGCCCGCATCTGCCCCTTTCTTACACAAGATGCTACTAAGGAACTTGTCCATGCTCTAGTAATCTCTTGCATGGATTATTGTAAATCTCTCTTAATTGGTCTTCCCACAAGTCGTATTGCCCTGCTACAGTCTGTAATGAATGCTGCAGCTAGACTGATTTTCCTCTCCTGTCGCTCCTCTCCCCTCTGTCAGTCCTTCATTGGCTTCCTGTATCTTATAGGAGTCAATTCAAGGTACTAATCCACACCTATAAAGCACTGACCAATTCTAGCCCCTCCTATATTTCTTCACAGATCCATATGTATGCCCCTTCTCGATCTCTCCACTCTGCCCATGACCTTCTCCTGTCTGCTGCTCGCACCCGTACAGCCAACTCATGCTTGCAAGACTTCTTGCGGGTGGCTCCTTTCCTTTGGAATAGCCTGCCTACGACCATCAAGCTCTCCCCTAATCTTCAATCATATAAAAAGTGCCTCAAAACCCATCTCTTTAGGAAAGTGTATGGCCTTCCAGAGTAACCTCTACCGCATGAACCTGTCCCTTGCGCTCTCCTAAAGGGCAGCACTCTACTCTCCTCTCCAGCTCTGCTTCACTCCACCTTGTTTGATTGCTACCTCCTGTCCTGTTGTGTTTTACGCCCCCACCTTCTATAGACTGTAAGCTTGTTTGAGCAGGGCCCTCTTCAACCTATTGTTCCTGTAAGTTTTTGTAATGGTCTCAGTTATTGTTAAATTTTCCCCTTTGATAATATTGTAAAGCGCTACAGAACATGCTGGTGCTATATAAATGGTGGTAATATTAATATTAGTCACCATGGGGACCTGGGATTTGACAAGCCCTGGATTAAATGATGGGCCTGGTTCGAGGAAAATGTATACATGTGGGGTATCATTGTATTCCACAGTAGCAGCCTAAAAATATGTGGTGTTTGCAGTAGAGGGGCTCAGGAGTGGTTTGTGAATTTCTCCAAAATAAAGCATGTCAAAAAAAATTCAAACACAAAAATAACTAATTTGACTTTTTTTTTTTTTTTTTAAATAAAATGTTTAAATGCAGGATGTACGTTCTGCAAATTATATGCTTTTAGCAGTTTTGGATTCTGTGACTACCATTAAAATTGTAATCTCAGCATGCCAAATTTTACAAAGTTATTGCTTTAAAACCGTAATTCACTCCTTACAGAATTTTTTTTTTTTTTTAACTTCTAAAAATTCAATTCATAGACCTATTGGGCATTTAAACAATCAGGACTAATTTGTGAATTTATGTTGAGTTAGTTTTCTTTACTTGCACGTGGTGTGTAGAAATTATTGCATGTAAAACAGACTTTTTATTACAGTTTCTCTCAGGGTATCAAAGAAAATCTCTATTTCTCCTTTTAAAATCATATAGAATATGTGTGGGTGCATTGAAACAGAAAAAGGGAAAGTGCGGTAGAATGAATGCAGGGCAAAAACTCCAGAAATGCCTTGGTCACAAACACGTTGCACCTCCATAAAGCCTTGTTCCTTAAGGGGTTAACATTGTTTTATTTGTTTATGCTTTACAAATTGTTTTCTTTTTTTTGAATGGAGGGTGTTAAATATCTCACAGGTTACATGGTACACGGTACAGCAAGTAGTCAACCTACTTGACAACTTACTTAGGGGCCTCCCTGTAGGGCTGGCACATTGGTTGAGAAGCACCTGAGCGCTCTCAGCCAAGTGTATCCTTGCAAGACCAGGTTTATTTCAGAACAGAAGCTTCTGAATTAAGAGGAAGAGGCCACAGGCAGCATGTAGACCTCAAATAAGTTGTAAAATTACTAGTCTACTTAATGTGGGAGGGGGCTAGGCATTTTTGCTACCAGAGCCCAGGGCCGCCACCACCACGGAGTGACAATGATAGTTGTCACAGGCCCACCTGTCCTTTGCAACTGTGCACATATTACAGTGGCAGGACTACACCAGTGCAAACACACAGAGGACTGCACACTAGGGTGGCCCATTCACTTAGGGCCACCAAATAGGTACTGATGAGCAGATGCACAGTCAGGCACCAGGGCACGTTAAAAGCTGTACTGGACACCTGTAATATTGGCCTGCAGGGAGGAAGTGACAGCCAGTCACTTCCTCCCAGAGAGAAAGAAAGCACCGCGCAGGAGTGAGGATGACAAATAGCATGGAGGGGGGTGGGAGGGCAGGATTGAGCTGCTGCAGGACCCACACACATCAGCCCCAGCCAGCAACACCCCAAGCAAGTCACGCTCCTGCAGAAAAAATGTATACTCATAGGAGGGTGGCTGCAAATATAAAAATTATGACACTTATGTGTCTGTTCGTGTGTATGAGCCAGTGTATTTGTGTGTATGTGTGTCAGTGTATACACTACACACAAATGCACGCCAACATTCACACACACATAGACCATATTAAGACAAGCTTGCATTCAAACACACAAACACTGCTCAGTGCAAAGTACAACCCTACAAGGAAGGGTAAATTGTAGTTCCCCAGCTGGCAAAGCATTGTGGGACTTGAACAACTGATGGGGATCTACATTTTTGTCACCCTTGTGCAAGAGGGGGGCTCATAAAAATAATTTTTGCACCAGGGCTCTCTCTACGTTTGTTCCAGCACTGCTCCTGTGGGCTCTCGGCAACTTGTATAGTGAAGAGAGGGCTGATCACTCATGATTTTCATCTTCCAGAAGCTCTATCCAACTCTCGTGAGTCCCTGGACATCAGTGTTGCTGTGGGTTACCATTGCAATGCTCTGCACGTCACACAGACCATACTGAGGTGGAGAAGAGCTGATGGAAGCTAAAGATCATGCTGGCTGGGCCCCCTCCTCACTACAGAGCATCTGGCAGCCTACACAATGCCATTGGACCCACAGGGAGTGTAATGTACCCCCTCCCTGACCACATGCAAGGGGTATGGAGGAGAAATAAAATATATTAATACATTTTAAAATAATAATAAAAAAAATATATATTTTTTTGTGTAAGATGAATATAGGGGCAGGAACTGTGGGACCAAGAACTTGAGCTGTGTCAGGGGCCCCAAAATTTCTGATGGCAGCCCTTTCATAGCCACTACAGTGTGCGGTTTGTAAACTAACCTTATAGTGCTACCCACAAATAGGCTGTGAAACTGGTTCAGTGGTCCAGGTTAAAAGAACCCTTTCTATCTACTCGATGACTATCAATTCAGACACCATCTTTATTTCTCTCCTTGGAGAAGGCGGCATTTGACAGACTGTTCTTTTTAAAAAAAATTAAAATAAAAATCTCTTGTGAAGAGTGCCCACTCCCTTCATTCGTTTGCTTTATCCCTTAAAGGTTTTTGTAAGACTAATTTGTAAGGTGGTTCGGCCATAAAAAAAACAGAAAAACAAACTCAGTTCCATCAGAGAGTGCAAGTTCTCACTGTATCCCGATCCTCCTTAAATCTATAGCAGCTAAGGGACTAAACTTTATATGTGCAGCGTTTCCATGCCACCATGACCACTTCAAACCTATAAAGTAGTCATGGTACTTGGAGAACCCTTTAAAAAAAAAAAAAAAAAAAAAAAGGTATTTCGAAAGTTAAAATGTTCCCTTTTTTGTCCTAAGTTAAGGTTGGGTCTCCCTTGGGTAAAAATTCAAGGTATGGGGGGGAGCCATAAAAACATCTAATCTGGTGCTAGGACAGTCTCCTTGATACACACAGATCTGCGCACATCCATTTTAATAGTCTCTAGTTAAAAGAGAAACACTCAGGGCTTAAGGCACATTCAGCGAATCCAGTGCTTCTCTATGAAAAGGCAATAGCTGCATTCAGAAGTATGACACACAGTATGATACAAAGGTTCTCTGGAAGAAGAGCCCCATATATCCAGACCCTCTATTTTTAAAACAGAATGGCAAACCTCTAATTTACCGCCCCAAACCTATTATTAATCCTCCAATTCTTTTCAGATTTAGCTGGCTACCAGGTGAGTATCAAAAGTCCAGGCTCATCCTTTTACTTCCGCAATCACATAGACAAACTATCAGATTTACAACCGTCACCTCAACACTATTTTTTTAATATAATAAATAAGAGAAACTCATCTCCACCTTTAGTATACGACAGGATGCTTCAACCGTGGACCCTCCATAGCACTGACCTCAATGCTCTTGTTCATGGTGGCGCTTCCTAGGGATAGGTTCAGATTAGTAAAACTCACCTTTGCATCCACCCTCCTGGAGTAACAGCTTAGAAATCACCAGGAGTCCTTGCAAATTATGCAATGTCCCTAGATGATGACAGTTCCATTTTAAGAACAGTTTGACAACTTACGTTGGTTGTACTTTGACATAAAACGTACATGGTGTTAAAAGGAACAGAAAGTAATGCTAAGTTTTTTGTGGTTCAACTAATATCAACTTACACCTTGGGTCAGACGGTGTTTGAAAACAGAGTCTCTATGGTCTTCCCAGATTCACTCCCTGCCCAGAAGCGGGGAAGATCAGAGTTTATTTTCAAATACGGATAATTATATACATTAAAAAATAAAATGAAAAAGCTAAGAAAGTAGTAGTGGCAGGACATGTGCGATCCTCGCTTCTCAGCGTCACATTTGTGATTTTGTTTTAAGGCGGTATCGTTACACATGTGCGCAGATGTCTAAGTTTTTGTGCATTTCACAGTGGTAGCGCACGTGCGCCTGGCTCTCCTGGACGTTACAATGTGTGACATCAGTGGAAGGAAGAGCTGATACGCACGTGTGTAGTTTATTTTTGACAAAGAATATTGGGGCATTTAAAGAAGTCAGGAGATGGCAACAGATCAGACATCTCCTGAAAAATCCCAGATGGACCCGGGATGAAACTAGTCGAGTGAGCAGAGCACTGGATGTTCCCCCTCAAATGAACACTTGGTCTACAGTCAGAATACTGGAAACCAAGATAATTGTGACCTCTGGGTTTCCAGGATTTTACCAGACTTGTCAGCCTGTGTGATGGTGGGATTCCAGCCCAGCTTATTTATTCTGAATTTGTGCCATCACCTGTGTGCTTATTTACTATTTTATTATTGTCTAATAAATTATACATACTACTCTGTTCTCCCTTGTTTAATATCAGATTTTTGAGAGCTGCAATATGGACAACTGCAAATTATTTCTATTTTAGTCACTGGTGTCTGGCGCCCTCTAGTGTATCTGGTATTTACATATTGTGGTTGTTTAATAAAACAAAACCGTGTTGAGTTGTAGAACGCTTTTATTCTTCTCAGCCAGATATTCCAGGGGTGCTGTAGCATAGTCATGGGTTTAATATAATATGGCCAGATGGTGGAACTGAATCCCCATATTTATTTGCGGCGATATGAAATTTTACGTAGCCTTGTAAAATCAAAGAAAAAAAAAAAATGTGTGTGCACTTCCTTCATCTTGCACTCTCCAGCAGCTCGTCTTTTCCTGTCGCAGGTTGCTATGGCAACACTCCACATAGCACTCAATGCGGCTTGCGAGAAGAAAAGACATGCTGCTGCTGGAGGGTGCAAGATGACTCCTGGGTCCTTCTTCACTATAAGCCTGCTGTAGCCACCAGACTACCAGGGAAATGTGTCTCCCCCCCACCCTTCCTGACCACAAGGAGGAAGCAGGGATGGGGGGGAAATAGTGTGATGTGTGTGTGGATGCAGTGTGGGATAAGTACTGAGGGAAGGGGGTTGCAGTTTGTTTTTTTAATTAGTTGGGCTTATTCCCCCATCCCAGCCTCTTGCCTGGGATGGGGGAATATTTATAAAAAAAAAAACTGCACCTCTTTCTCCCCCAGTACTTATCTTACACAACAGACACTGTATCCACTACACACGTTACAAAAAAACCCCATACACTTCACGCATTACACAAACACGCACACTACATGTACTACACACAGTACATCCAGTATAAAAACACACCATGTTTGTACACATCTCAGCATCTTGCCAACACTACACACACACCTAAGTATATATATATATATAGCGCGAGGGCTTGCACTCCTGGTGTAATCCTGTGGTGCCGGTCTGGCAAGGATCATGTAGACATAGCAGAAATGACCGCACTCCAAGGACTTTATAGAGATTTTCTAATAAAATGTAAAGTCCTTGGAGTGCGGTCATTTCTGATATATATATATATATATATATATAGAGCGCACTACACATAAATACACAACAGCATTCAAATGCCAACACTATATACAAACACACTCCTACATTCACTCACATACGCCATACAAAAACATGCTTACATTGAAACACAAGCACTGCTCAATACATTAAAAACATTGTGGTTTTTTTTTCCCCCTTTACATTTTAAAGTTGGGGAGGGGGTGCCAAATTTAGGATCCATGCTGGGTGCCAAATGCTACGCCCCTGAAGAGATGAACATTAACTGAAGCTATGCAAGAAAAATTGGGGATACGCAAACAATCAATAAAGAGAGGAGGGATATTTTGATATAGCTTTTTGCCACTATGGAGATCTTACAATGTGTTTTGACATTTAGTAGATAGTTCAACAGTCCAGTAGAGGTATGAGAAATGATTTCATTATTTAAATGCTGTTCTTAAAAAGAATTCTCAGGAAGGGTGAATTAAAGTGCAGTTCCACCACCTTTCAAGTCACCTGGAACAACACAGTTGCAAATAGAAGCACCAGGGAAAATGTAGGGTAGTCAAGAAAGATTGTTCAGAACTCGTGGCAGACAAAACATTACCACCACATTTGCACAATGCACTCTAAAGCACTCAGTCTCCACTTTCACTCTTTATAAAACGGCCAATTTCAAGAAAGATTGGCACTTAAAAAATTTTATAAAAAGATTCCAAGTTGCCACATTCCAGCTGTTGATCAGGCTCTTCTCTGTTGCTTTGTGCCCCAGCAAAAAGTGTAATAGAATGCTTTTTATAGAGACATTAGTTTCAACGGTTTCTTGGTAAGTTAACTTTATTTTACTGCTGGGAGTGGGCAGGAAACTTCAACTCTCCAGCATTTTTAAATACATTAATAAAAAGTTGGAGCATTTTTTTTGTAACCTTTCTGAAGATGCTGAAAATCATTGATGCCATTAACAAAGTCACATGAGCTATACTTTTAAATTTAATTTTACTTACCGGATAGGGGAATTAATAAAGTATTATGCAGGGACATAATGCCAAGTGTATGTGCATGGCCCTAACAACCCATTATTCAATTGTAACGTAAGCTCAGTGACATTTATAATACAACACATTCTACATCAGACTATTTCTAGTGTGTCCAAGGGATTCCCACTTTCATAGGGTTTTTAACCTTTGATCAGGTCTGGTCAATATGTGTCATTGAAATAGAGTTCCCAGAATACACAATCAGCTCATCCGTGGGAGTTAATTTATGAAGCTTAGAAATAGGTGTATATATATTTTTTTTTTATTTTAATATAGGTCATTAGAGGAGAAGACAGTTACTATGTTGCATGAGAGATGATAAAAAAAAAACCAAAAAAACCACAAACTGAAAATATAGTAACAGTTTAAAAAACATAGGGAGGGAAGGGGGAAACCACATCGAAAAAAAATAAAAATAATAGGAGACAAATCTAATTTCAAACATGAGTTAGAGCGGTAAATCCTGCACAATTTTGAAACAATTATGCTTTATTTATTTTTTTAGTATAGGTTTACTTTATTAAGGTTTATGGAATGTCACCATACAGACATATCCAGAAATACATTTTGGGATGTCTACATGGATACACAGAAAAGAGATTTTTAAAGACCTTTTTTCCTTGTGAAAAAGAGAAAAAATGACTAGTAAGGATCTATATGCAGAGATGTTCACATCTAGTCTAGCAAAGCAGATATAGCAACATATACATAATGCATAGCTTACCTGCAAGACTGCAACTTTGCTTATATATAAAAAAAAAGGAGGTGAGACTTCTAGGAAAGGAAAAAAAAACAACAAAAAAAAAAAACCCCAAGAATGTCAGGAGTACTGTTTAATTAAAAAATTATGGAAAAAAAAAACAAAACACAAAACAGTAACATTTACAAATGCAATAAACACTTCCAGTAACATTGTTTAAATAGTGGGATCCAAGTGACCTGTTCATGCCAGAAAGCTGAAGCATTCCACTCATGTAGACCTAGTGCTCCCAGACCATTATTAAAAAAAACAAAAACAAAAACGCATCATGGATAATTGACAAGGGAATTACACAGTGCAACCGAGCTAGAAGTTCTCCAACTAAACTAGATTTCCAGCTTGGTTACTTTACTCTGGATTGGACAATTCCCTTGTTAAATCTCCACAACTCTGTTGAGTAAACGTAGATGCAATTCTTTAATCATTCATATAAAAGAAGCCATTTCTAGTAATAGCTGTGGATTTGGAAACTAAGAGGTACAATGAAAGCACGTGGAGGACTAGCAGAATCCGGTTTACAGTAATATCTCTGGCTCTAGAGAGATGCTATATATATTAATTATATGTTGTATTCCCTAAAAAAAAAAAAAAAAGTGTAGAGGACCAAATATCAACATTTAGGCTTAAATAGTCCGGCTGTGACTATAAAATTTACAAATCAGAATTTTGTTTAAATTTTCTAAAATTTGTATTTAGTGAATAATTATTCCATTAACTAAACACCCTTTACGATGGAAATAAATACAATTAAATGAATGCTCATTCATACAAATTTAAAGTCTACGTCAAATACTGCATGTGAAGGCCTAGGGTTATTTTAGTGATGGTGTGGTGTTTCCCAGGGATTTTGGATAGGGAAGACAGGCAGCTGGAACAAGAGTGGCAAAATAGGTCCTAAGAGAGACCCCTTTGTGCCTTAAAAAAAAAAAAAAAAAAAGTTGTAAATATTATCAAGCACATATTCTTGTTTTCTATTGCTTCTGGCACAACAATCCAAGCACCATAACCACTACATTGCCCTTAGTCCCTTCTCGCAATTTAAGCAAGTCAAGCCATTTGCCAACGCCTTTGTTTATACCTGTGGGCTGCTCCTTGCAACCTAAGAAAGTCAGATTGCCAATGCCATGGTTCTTACCTGTACTCTGCCTAAACTACAGCCTACACTCGCCAGAAGCTCTGTGTGAGCTAAGCCTAGCAGTGTAGGGAGTTTATGGCTCTCCAGGCAGATGAGACGAGATAGGGAGCAGCACCCAGTAGACCCAAGAAAGGTTATCAAGCCATTCTAAAAATGGATTGGCATGCCAGGACACTGCTTGCATAGTCGCCACTCTAACATGCTGTAGAGGCCATGGTGTTTGGAGTGTTCTTACTATACCTCATCTGCACTTACTGAAAATGTATGGTTTAAAAGTGAAACAAACTAATGCTGCATAGCTGGTTGGATCCTTTATAAACCCCACTCTAAATGCAAAGGACTGGTATAGTGGTCATCAGGACACCTTCACTAGGGACAAAAAAAAATGTGCACGTTTTAAGCTAGAATGGCACAATTTCTAAACAGAAAAGGTATTTTAGCCTGAAATGTACAATTCCCTTGTCAATTCTCCACAACATCCCTTTAGTGCGGGGGTAGACAACCATCGTCACTCCAGATGTTGTGGACTACAATTCCACAGATCTGCCAGTTTTGGAGTACTGAAGGTTGCCTACACCTGCTATACTGAATAACCTCAAAAAGAAAACAATTGGATCAATTCAACATTTTCATATTTGTCAATTTAGAACAAAAAAAGGGTATGCAGGAGAAAATGCAGTTTTACAGCTTCCAAATCATACATTGGATCATTCATCACCCATGTAGACATTATTCCTCAAATGTTCAGTAAACATCACACTGTAAAAATTCCCATGTTTGTTCCTCTGGAATCAAAAATAAAACCCAAAACAAGTTTACCATGTATATATGGTCAGAACTGTAAAACAAGGAGTGACAAAAGCAACAAAGTATTCTAGGGAGTATTCTGCACTATATAAAATTCTACACACAGGCACAATTTCTACTTTGGTATGAAAACTTGATACCCTAGAATACCATCCTGCAGACTGCAGTGCATTTTTAATACATAGATACAGAATACTGCTGGAACCAAGTAAACACAAGTAAAAAAACAAAAAAACAAAACTAATGCTGGACAATGTTTTGATTTTTTTATCTTGGCACCTGATATTCCTGATTTAAACTTCTCATTATGCTCAGCTTGCATGGCATCATGGAATACATGTTCAGGACCATCTGGGATGCCAAACCATCACCCAATTGGAACCTAATGGCCACAAACTTTTCTCTTGCAGAGTAATGCACACAGTTGTGCTTCAGTACACGGTAACTCTTTCTTCCCTGAGAACGGACACCCAAGTGCACTACTGGGCTGATTTTCAGGACAGTTTAATAGCAGTCGCAATTAACATGGACGGAGAGCAAGGAAGAAATCTATAGAATACATTTCATCCTCTGAGAATAATGCAACTTTTTTGTGTGTTAAATTTAAAATCACCCCTTTTCTTTCTAAAGGAAAAAAAACAAACAAAAACCATTCAAGTCCTACAACAAAGTTTAAAGTTGAATGTTAAGCAAAAATGTAATAATTACATTTATCTTGATATTGTGGGATAGCGAATTCTTAAATGTAATTTTATGATTAAGATTTAGGCCTAACTGCATTCTCCATTTCTTTATACTAACCAAATCTAAGAAAAACAAAGAGTTTGTGCCCCCCTATGACAAATGAAATTAAAGGGGGGTGAGGAGAGGGGGGAATTAAAAAGGCACACCTGTGCTATTAGCATTTTAAACTCTATGACTCCGCTGTCATCTGATCTGTCACTCTTGCGATTTACATTGAATAGCTGAGGTCTAGCATGTTTGACCACCGTTCGCATTGTAATTTAGGTAACAAAAGTTTCTTAATGCATTAGGAAATTAACATTTAGACCCCAACCTCTCCTGAGCAGGGAAGACAGGCATCATACAATGGTAAGCGTGAATAATAGAGCTCTATATATAGATTTTATCTGAGATATATATATGTGCGTGTAATATATATATTTGTATATTTATATAGCAATATAAATATATACAATTCTGTGGATGCATAACAGGTCCACAAGTCCAGACTTCTTTTTAAGGAGGGTAAAGGGGCTACAAAGTGATGGAGGCATACAATTTGATTGCATTGATAAGTTTCCTCTGTGCATTTCCAGCTATGGAAAGTTTGGTGGGGAAAAGGGTACCACAGTATTCCTTCACCTGCCATAACTGTGGTGGAACAAGCACAAGCAGAGCCTGAGTAGGGTCAAGTTTTGTCCACAACAGCAGCCATTTGGTGACTTAAAGAAAAATATTTGTGGAGAGCTTAGCTCCAACACACAAACCTTGGTAGCGTTTTACATCAGAAGTCCCCCAATCTGTCATATTGAAGTTTCGCCGTTTCTTTTATCGGTTGAGGGTCAATACTATTGTCTGGTTTTCGGCACAAGACTCTATAAGTGCAGATTTACTGTGCTAAATTTTAAAAGGCCAGATGTCTTCCTGCCTTGTCCTCTCAGGCAAGCAGGTAACAGACAGTTGTACGTTGACAATAAACAGGGAGATATTTTCATGAAAGGAAAGTAGAACACAGCCTGGAGATTAAATAGGAAAACTTAATTTGGTTTACTATGAAAAAGAAAAGTGCAAACAGTTAACGTACATCCACTGTGGCACTCTTGTCATTGTGTGCATGAATTACCTCTCCAAGCCCTTACATCATCTTGAAAATCACCATTTAAAAAAGGTACAGGAGTGCAAGGAGCAGGAACCGTGGACGAGCATAGAGGCCTCATGGACAAGTGGTCCTTTGTAGACATTATTGGTTCTCATCTCGAATGAGCTCCAGGATGCTAATGAGACTACGCAGGCCCAAAACATACCCTTTGTCTGGTCCATCATGCACTGTGAGATCATCACGAAAGCCTTTGTAGGTGCTATGGGCAAAATCTATCATACGCACATCCACTTTGGGTACTGGTTCCTGAACCATGGAGTCAGTTGACCTTGGGTGGTCCCTGCCATCATATATAATCAGAAGGGAACTTGAGTAGAAGCGATAAGAAGCCTGGATCTCCAGCACAGCTGTAAGGCGTTTCAGCTTGCTCAGGATTGGTTCAAACAGGTCCCTACGCAAATTGACACCGTTGTGAAGGTACTGATAGAGCGCCTGTCTGAAACCCTCTGCACTCAGTCCACGCCCATAGTACTTGTTCAAACACAGATAATGCCCTGTGTCCATCTGGAAAACCTAGAAATAATAACAAAACAGTCTACATAAATAGTGCAACAGCTAATAAATACACACATTTCAATTTAGGCTGAATTTAAAAGTGATAGTATACAAAACTTGCAAGGTATAGAGAGATATTGTACTGTGCATCATATTTAATAGCACAATACTTTAATAAGTCTCCCCCCAATGTGTTCCCGGGCAGTTTATTTATGGTCATTTTTTAAATTTTATTTACATGCAATATTGTTTTCACCTTCATATCTAGAAATCACTTGAACATTATTTTAATGTGTCCCTGCCCATAACAGAAGCGTTCTGATAATGGCAATTAAGAATAGAGTCAAGCTAGGGTGACTAAGATTGGTACCTGCATGCCACACACCCTCACACCAAGTGTGGCTGATGTACTTTGCTCACACTTCTTCATTTGCCGCGCTGCTTTCTCTTCAGAAGCATCATCCCCATGCTGTCTTGTGCCCATCTTAAGGTCCAGCACACATGGGAACTTGAAATGGTGTACCACATTTTCTAAGAGAAGAAACTCTGATAGGGCAGTGGAGTTAAGGATCTGAAAACATCTTGTGACAAAGTATTATATGAGAGATAGATAGAGATAGAGAGAATATATATATATATATATATATATATATATATATATATATATATATATATATATATATATATATATATATATATATATATATATATAGAGAGATATAGATAGAGATATAGATATATATATATATTTTTTTTTTCCAATATCCCCTGCACTCACGCTTAGTAAATATCCAGTTTGCCGGGTGCCATAGCCTAGACTCGAATAGTACAATCTGCCAAAAAAAAAAAAAAAGCTGCTCACCGGTCTTTAAAAAAACTCCAATGCTTTAATCAATTCAAGTTAAAATGAGAAACCAACGTTTCAGTCCCCGCTCGGGACTTTCCTCAGGGTAGCAAAACATAAAAAACATCAAATACATGACAATATAACATCAAACACGCTCGGGTGCTCCAGCGAGACCATAGGTCAACACAACCCCGTTACAGCCAATAGCGCCCACAAGGCATTGACCAGACAAGCGATAACAGTACAAGGTATCTCTTGAGAGCCCCACTCATGGTCCTGACTCACTACACGGGGCGCAATACAGGGATAGGATTGGTCGTTGCGCGGCAAGGTGTCCCACGGAGTACACGAGTGTGAGCATAAACACATGCCAACCGACCGCCTCCCCCCCCCTCGAGCCCTGTACCCCTCCTGCCTGCGCACGTCCCACCAACGTCAACGCATCCCCCTTTCCCCTCTCTTCTATCCCCCGACAAACACGACAAAAGCACACACAGGCTCAGAACAGGAGGAACATCTCTCATACACGCGAAGGTACAGGAATGCACATCCCACAAAATCTCTGTTAATCGACAAACAAATGTACTAACTGTGAATCTTTGTGGTTTTTGCTGTGTATGACAGTACCCACTCTACGCTCTCTCTTTGTTCTGTAATCTCATATATGTCATAAATAAAGAATTTATTAAAATAAAAAAAATACATGACAATATATAGCATAAATGTAATTGAATTAAACTCACCCAGGTGCAGTGTGTTCATGCTGAACCTGATCCGGTGTACTTCCGGGTATGCGCGCGCATACGTGCACGTAAGGGGGCGGATCTTATTCACGTATGCGCGCGCATACCCGGAAGTGCATCGGATCACGTTCAGCATGAACACACTGCACCTGGGTGAGTTTAATTCAATTACATTTATGCTATATATTGTCATGTATTTGATGGTTTTTATGTTGTTTTGTTACCCTGAGGAAAGTCCCGAGCGGGGACTGAAACGTTGGTTCTCATTTTAACTTGAATTGATTAAAGTATTGGAGTTTTTTTAAAGACCGGTGAGCAGCTATTTGTTTTTATATATATGATATATCTATCTTACATCTGGGGCTATCTGCAGTACAAGGTTAAATAGGGCCATGGAATGAGGCACCTGTGACAGAGAGGGGTGGAAAACCAAGGCCTAGACTACCAAAATATATTTATATATGAAAACCAGTGGGCTGCATTGATTGAACATGTATAAAAGTACTTTTTTTAATTTAATAGATATAAAAAAATTCCATAGAAGCCTGCATGCCAGAGTAAAGTTGCAGTTCGGTGCCCGGGGATCATCACAATTACACAAAAGCATATTGTTCTTCATGACAGCACTCCAAGGACTTATTGAGGTAGTAGACAGAATTCCTGACAAAAAAAAGTAGTGTTTAAACGGAAAAGTCGATTTTATTTATTTTTATATAGTGTAAATAAAAGCCAAGTTTTATTTTTGTACTACCTCAAGAAGTCCTTGGAGTGCGGTCTTGGAAGAAAAAAAAAAAAATACAATTAAAATAAATATCTATACATATTCAAATAATAGGATGCCCAAATCAGTGAAATTAAAAGGATTAAAGGTGCACGACGACTGAAGTTGACTGCTATAAAAGTTCTCCCATAGATCGCTATGCGAGAACCTGCACCAGTCTCTTGTCATATCGCATTAAGACAGTACAGGATCTAATACCAAGGGGTAGGTGCTGTAAAGGTTGATCTGGTAAATGCAATGTTTGCAAATCACAGCAGCTATGATATCTTGGGAGAAGGGATTACCTGATATAATACAATTCAGCTCTCAAAGTAAAATGGATTAAAAGAGGTTTATGTTAATTTCAGATCATTCAAGAAAGATACTGTACAGTTTCCTCTCTTTGGATTCAGAACGCATGCGGTTCAGTTGCTGCTTGTGGCAGCGGAGGCTCCAAGGGTTGTAACTGATTCTTTCGGAGCTCATCTCACTGTTGCCATCCAGCATTTGAAAGGGAACTTCTGAGTGCATCACTAGCTCCAGTTTTGGGCTCTTCATCTCCTGGGCACTGCAAGATTAAAGAAGACTAAGTAAACAAAGTCATTAGATCCCATGAATTTTAATACATGCTGTCTCTCTCATCCACCAGTGTGGTCTACAGTGATAAATGTCAGGCAAGTATTTGAGACTTAATCCTTTAAGTGCATAGCTAAATGGACACCATGAAAATCTACTTAAAACTAATAAACTCACACTACAGACCTTTCTAACACTGATGCCAGACATCAAGTAATAAAGTGCATTGCAACAAGATAGGATTTCCCACTCAAAAGTTGATCTTAAAATTTGTGAGATTATGCCACCTGACCAAATTGCCAGCTTTCTATTTTCTTTCAATTAGATAACATGTGCATGCCATAAGACTCGAGACTCTTTATTGCGATTGCATCTAAGAACTGTTCAACATTTTGTTATGTACCCAGATTAACTGCATTTGCACCTTATGGAAACTTCTCCTATGCAATTGCTGGTTGAAATAAATAACTGCAAACAAACGTGATCCTCCATTATATGAGTGGTAATCAAGCTGGTTCAAACACATTCCCACTCGTATAATGGAGGATCACAATTTGTTTACAGAAATAATATATATATATACATATACACATATATATACACACACAGGACTGCACTCACCTGAACATGTATGTATATCTATATAAACAAACACTCACACAAACCAAGAAAGTAATGGTGGCGAAAAATGTGACTGAAATCCCCTTCCACCTGAAGTCAGTGATGTTACTACTGCAAGGAATTCTGGGTGGGCATATGCAATTAGTACAACAAAGAATTACCTTTTTGCCTCTAAACAATGAAACAGCTGTCCATGAGGGTTTACTGGCTTTGCATCTCTTGTGTTTCAAAGCTGTTGTACACAGCAAACATACTCCAAGGAATCCATGTTTAACCCCTTAAGGACACATGACATGTGTGACATGTCATGATTCCCTTTTATTCCAGATGTTTGGTCCTTAAGGGGTTAAAATGGAATAATGAGGCAAAGAGGTGAATCTTTGTTGAACTAATTTGCATATGCCAACCAAAAATCACTTGGAGTAGAAACCACTGAAATTTTAGATTTCTGTGGGAAAAGCAAGTCTAGTGGCTTGGCCGGTGTGCAGATCTGTGTTTAACAATGTACTGACCAAAGGTGGAAGGGGTTTTCAATCACATTTTCACCACCATACCGGTTTGTGTGTGTGTGTACCAAATAGGCACTTGATAAATAATAAAAAATACATATTACATCAAACACATATTTGGTTTGTTACACATACATAAACATGTGTTAAATACGCATTATGTCAATAACAGTTCTGTGGTACATTAGACATAATTAAAAAAAATTTATATGGAAAACTCCACTCTGACATTAAAAATGCATTCTCAAAATATATATGCAAGCCATTTTGTGCATATATACTTTGCCAGGATACACTGGGGTAAAATGTTTGTATCAGTGTGTACGGTTTTTATTTATTTATTTTATAGTTTACTAGTAATGAGACATTTACCCAAATTACTCTGAGATGGGCGCACACTAGAATCTCCACTTACATTAGAATCACTGACAAATCCATAAAGAAAAACCGCATCATAGCAAAGGTTACATGACATCCCCTGTAGTTCCATTTAGTTTTTTTAAGTGAAAGTACATAAAATATGTCTAATACCTTTCAGAGTTCTCCCCAGTTAATAGTGACCAATCATCCTTATGTTCAGTGCTTGCAGCATTGCTATTCGTGCGATGGAGTCCACGGCGGGAGTGTTTGCGTCTTGAGTGGTCCCTTTCAGGGGTTTCTTCTTGATCCATGGACTCACTCTCCACAAAAGGGTATGCGACAAGGTTAATGTAACCATCACTGTCACCTTCAAAGCAGACAGACACCACACCTGAAAGGACAAGAGATTACTTTGAACCTGTAACTTAAGTTTACCATTACACAAGATATATAAAAATAAATAAAAAGGGTTGTGTGACAATACCATTTCCTACATAGCATAAAATACAGTACTGTAGGACTGCTGTAACATTGTATGTTCTATTTCATCAAACAAGGTTATCGAAAAAGATTAAACCACAGATATGCAATATTCATTACTCTCCAGTAAACCAATATTTGCCAATGACTAATGCAGGCTGTGATAATAAATAATGGTGGCCAAATACATTTCCCAGTTTTATGAAATCAATGTACTATGGGTACAGACAGTTTAAAAAGATTATATTTATGTCAAACACATGACCAGATGCATCATAGTTACATCAAGATAAATCTTTCAAAATCTAGACTGAAGTAAAGAAAAGAAGTAGTCAGCAGAACACATTTTTATTGCAACAGAACATATTTGAGCATAATAAACAAAACAAATGGCTGAAAGCTTTGCATAGTAACACCTTATGGAGTTCATGAATAAAGAATATAAAATGTATGCAGTCTTAAGGGTACCAATTTCCAGATGAGTCCTTCACCTTTGTACTCGGGGGTAAATTCGTTCATCTCAGGTGGAAGAGATTCGTAGAAGCGCTGTTCCCTGGCTATAAGTGGTTTGCACACAGTATGGTCATCGTAACGCATCATGCTGCTGTGCCCTCCCACCTGATGAATGAACGGTTCCAGGAGAACCCCTCGGCCCCTGTCGCATACTGCGCTCTTAACGCACTGCCCCACTTCCATGGTTTGACAAACACACATTGCGTTGGATGCCCGACGCTTGGCGGGGGCATGGAGAGGGGCACGGGGCCTGGCAGCAGCACTGAAGAACAAAAGGTTGTCGGTTGCAGGACCTTCACACTCTTGTCTTGACTCACTCAAGGGATCTGAAAGAAAAAAGACAAACATTAACCATTAGAGAAAAAAATAAAAAATTCAAGGCCTTTACTCAAAAGTTTCTTCAGAAGATCACTTCACAAAAAAATAAAAATAAATAAATAAATAAATTTAAAAAAAACAAAACAAAAAAAACAAAAAAAAAACCACACCCACACAACCTCCACGTAGAATTAAATTGAGAAAATTTATAAAATTACCAAGCTGAAATTTTAACTGTAAAAAGTTACAAAGATGCAGATATGCATATTTAGTAATTTAACAACAAATACAAAAAAAATAAATAACACAATGATCCTAACCATTACCCTTTTCCCAATATTATCGACATTACATTTTTTAGTTTTATTACTATAAAAGGCTGCAGACATAGCTCACCCATCCAACACATTACAAAGTTACAGTTTGCACCATAAAATGAGCACATTTATTCAATAATTCAAGTACTGAAACAGACCTACACTTTCTCTTTCATGAACTTGTATGGCTGGATTTTAATGTTTGACTTCTGCAATATACTAGTACTCAATGATAAACTAGAGTTAAAAAAGTAATAATGAAAGATACTACCTTTCTGTGTCTGGTAGGTCCCAATCACACAGCTATTATCAGCCTTAAGTAAAGTCCATTCTGTTTATGTTCACTGACCGATTAAGCCAGTGCTTTAGCCATTCACAAGAAAGAAGTATGCACAAGCCATCTATCGCTTTAGCACTGTTTGGGCAAGTGAGCATGTAGATATAACTTGCACCATCTAGATTGTGCTCTGTTGGATCTCTTTCCAGCCTTATTAAATTACCTAATCCACCACTGATGAACCCTGCAAATCGCATACCTGAAACCTTCAAGGTTACCTTTAAGAGGGGCTCAGGTTCCTTTACTCTGCTGACTCGATTTTCACTCCAGCTACATTCTTAGTAACCTACTGAACCTTGTTCGTGTAATATCAAGCGCCCAATCAGAGCAAACTTGAGCTTTGAATTTTTTTTTCATCCTTAGAAGCAATGAGTTCAGATTTAAAGAAAGATTATTATTTTTCACCCATGTTGGGGCTTTTAGATTTCACACACAAAGCTATACATTTCCAGTTAAGGTTAGCTCTAGCACATTGAAATCCACCCCTGAGCCTTTAGATTTTCTGTGGCAAATAACTTAAAGTGGCACTGTCATGGCCGCATCAGTTTTTTTTTTTTTAACCCCTCTCCTGACTAATACAGTGCCCATGGTCACCACCCATATTACCAATATTTAATGTTTACTTTCTGCCAGGACCTAGGTGCCGCCATCTTTGTGTGGGTCGATGAAGTCCCTATGTTGCCCACACTAGATAGCGCTGTGAAATTCCCGCGCATGCCAAGTTCGGCATTCAGACGGGAATTTCAACTATTCATTTGTCAGAAAGACAAATGAATGAATAGAAATTTCAAACGAACAAACAAAGACCGAATGTCGGTGTTCGTTTGTTTATTACATAGAGGGAGCTGCTGGCTCACAGCTCCCTCCTTGTAATATGTAAAAATAGAAGCGTCAGGGAGCTGTGCTCCCCCCCACATGTCTTCCATCACTCTATGGGGATCAATATGACCCCCATAATAGCATAAGGGAGATTAAAACTCCCGAATGCCCCTACTCGCTATGTTGAGAGGGGACATAGTGGGAACCCTAATTGACAATGATCCCCCTCCCCGTTTTATCTAAGGGCCCCCACCCACCGCTCATGGGTGGGGGCGAGGAGAGACACCATGCCCCCCATTTAGTTTAGTGGCCTCCACTCGCGGTGCTCGAGTGGGGGCTCTGGGACGACGACGACGACAACACAATGCCCCCCGTTAATTGTTATAGGTGACCCACTAAGTGGCACTTTATTAGAGGCGTGAGGGTGTCTTTTTTACAGCAGTGAGCAGCCACTGGCTGCACACTGCTTAGTAGACATGTCCCTATTCGCAGCATAGTGAGTAGGGGCAGATTAATTACTAATACCAAGTAATTTTTACTGTGGGAATTAGGGAGCTATTTACTAAGCGGCTGCAATAGGATCGGATTTTTTTTCATTCGAATGAAATTCTGATACGAACAGAAACTACCGAATGCCATTCTAACACGAATGAACAAACTGTTCATTCTGTTTGGATGCCGGCCTATCTATAGGGGACGCTGGGGAATACTGAAAGGAAGCATCACGAGATCAGGTGAGAATTGTGGGAAAGTTCCTTTGACCGCGAGAAGTGGGTCAAAGCTGATCAAGCATAGGAAACCTCCATAAACAAAGTAGTTCCTACTCTGTCTTATGTTTTAAAGAAAACTAGAGCAGACCTGAAGAAAAGAAGAACAGATCCTGAGAGAGGGAGAGAAGAGGAAGCGATTGGGGAAAGTTAAGTTTGGCATGACAGCATCGCTTTAAATGAACCCTATAGTGTCAAGAATAAAACCATGTACGCCTGGCAGTATAGTGCTGGAATGCAGCATTAGGTCCCTGGCCCCACTCACTTTGGAGATTAATGTGTTTTCACTCACCTCTTTTCCACTCTGCTTTGGTCTCACCACGGCTGGCCCTGCCTCTGTGGCTGAAATAACTTTTATAATCTCATCAAATTCAATGCTTTTCCATTGGAGAGCATTGGGAGGCTATTGCATGTCACAATCTGCATCTCCTCGTAGAATTGCAGTGACTCAATGCTTCTCCATGAGGAACATTAAAGGACCAATATAGCTCAATGAAGTGGTCTGGGTGCCAGGTCTATCTAGTTTTACCCCGCAGCTGAAATTATAGCAGTTTCAGAGAAACTGCTATGTTTACACTGAGGGTTAATCAGCCTCTAATGGCTGTCGCACTGACAGCAGCTAGAGGCGCTTCTCACTGTGAAAATCCCAGTGAGAAGACGCTGGACGTCCATAGGAAAGCATTGAGAAATGCTTTCATTTGGACTGTTTAAATGCACGCGCAGGTGCATTCGGCGCGGACGTCGGCAGAGGGAGGAGAGTTCCCCAGCACCGAGGGAGTCCGGCTCTAGAGAAAGGCAAGTGTTTAACCCCTTCAGCCCAGCGGGAGTGGGACCTAAAGACCCTCTAGTGCCAGGAAAACAAGCTAATTTTCCTGGCACTATAGTAGTCTTTTAAGCACCTTCATGCAGAAAGTGTAGACACTGACCGTAGAAGCACCTATAGTGGACATCTGAGTGATGGTCACTATAGGTGTAACTAGCCAGCCATGTAAACATTGCCTTTTCTTTACAAAACACTACTTTAAAACGTTAAAGGGACACTACAGTCACCAAAACAATTTTAGCTTTATGATGTATAGATCATGCCACTGTAGACTTACTGCTCACTTCTCTGCCATTTAGGAATTAAATAAGTTTGTTTATAGAGACCTAGGAAAACCTCCCTACATGTGACTTGGACAGCCTTCCCAAACCATCAAACACTTTCTGTAAAGAGTCATCTAATGTTTACACTTCCGATGTTGCAAATTCTGTTTTCATGCAGGCAGTGTAGGTCACAGCCAGGGGAGGTCTGGCTATGGCTGCATGAATGGAAACAAAGTCATTTAAAAGGGAAACTATGGGCACTCAAACCACTTCACCTTATTAAAGTGGTCTGGGTACAGTGTTCCTATCGCGCTTAGTGCTGCAATGTTTAAAAATGGAGTTCCAGAGAAACTACAAATGTTTACATTGCAGCACTAAGTCTGCCTGTAGTGGCACCTAGAGGCGCTTCCCAGACGTTTGATCTAGTAACTGACGCTGGACGTCCTCATGCAAAATCCAGTGTCCACTATTTCCCCACAGGTAAGCACTGATTCAATGCTTTCCTACGGGGTGGTCTAATACGAGCGTGGTATTTGCTGAGCATGCGCTTTAACGCTTCGCGGGACGTCATAGGTAGAAGTGCGAGAGACATCTGCGCTGGGATCAGGATAGAGAAAAAAAAAAAAGGGGGGGGTTCTAACACTTTATTGGAGGCAGGGAAGTTAGCTACAGTACCCGGAATGCAGCTTTGTATTCCTGGCACTTATAGTATCCCTTTAACACATAAACAGCACTGACGTGAGCAGTAAGACTTCAGAGTCATGATCTAAACACCAAAAATGCTTCATTAAGAAAGTTGTTTTGGGGACTATAGTGTCCCTTTAAAGTAAAAATCCTTTTCTTGCAAGTCTTTCTACATATCCATTTTAAAATTAAACAGATGGTGTTACCCAACACACAATCTTGTAAAGAACTGGCCACAAAATTACAAACTCAAAATAAGCTGGGAGAGGATCAAATCTTCGCTGTTCCTGGTTTAGAAAATATAATAGAAAGGTTGGACTTTCATGCAGACCCTTTGCCCCAGAAATTAGATTAACTCAACACCTCAATAAGGAATTCACAGCAGGCCCCGATGTAAACTATGAGTTAGCAACATAGGGCACTGAGTCATAAAACAAGATAACCACATACTACACACCGTCAATGCAAGCAGCCGACAAAGTGTATCATGGAAATTGTCCTCATATGACTCCCAGCCTCAAACTGTGTGACCCCTGTGACTGATCTTTCAGCTTTTGCCTCCACATGGCAGATGCTCCTAACACATGCATGAACTTGAAAATGTCCCTAAAGCTACATTATCTCACTCAAGGTTTAGTCAGGCAGTATCTCTCTCTCTCTCGCGTTTACTTTATCACATGACCACACAAAAAACCCCACAAAAAAAATAAACCAGCAACACACTGAAGCAAAACAGAATAGAAATTAGACAAAATTATGCATTAAATCTGAAATAAATATAAATATTGTGCTAAATATATGCTCACCCTGACAGAATATGAATGAACCTCTGCAGTATTCAGGACAAAGCACAGATATGAGATTTCTTAGCCAATTCTAATTTTCCCATAGAAAACCTGTCAATTGACAAAAGTGAAAGAGTTAGTGCAAACACTACGGTTTGCTCTCCCGCGGAAAGTATCCTCAATGCTTTCTTGAGGGGGTTGCTTCCTCTTTCTTTCATGTGGAGCTGAGGTGCAATAGTGTGGTTATTGGAGGGAGAGGAGGAGTGTAACATGTAAGTAAAACAAACAAAAAAACAAAAAACAGATGAAACCTGTACGGACAGCACACATTGATCTAAACTGGGACCCAGAGTTAGTCGTAAATGAATAAATTAATATAAAATCTTTATATTTTAAATGGTTATAAAATAATTTAAAAGCATGGAGTCCCCAGAAGCTACAATTTGTAGTTTTAGTCCCCCAATTGCTTACTTTCAGTCACTAGGCCTCTTCATCTCCTACACTTGTCCTTTCACAACTGGTCCCACCCACTCCCTTCCAGACCCTTTTCCATTGCCCACCATTTCTCTCCCATGCTCTGTATTGAGCTTTCCATTGCCTTACTTCTATGGTCTCCAAATTCTATTTCATTACTGTCCCAATCAATCTTTAATACTTTAACCCATCCTTTTTCATATGTTATTATGCATTTTCCTTTACTTGGTCTCTGATCAACACCATTAAATCTTATCCCGCCAACTGTACAAATCTAGGGTGAATATGACAAACGGGAGAGTTGCAAAACACTGCATCCATAACCAATAGGATGAGGATGACAAGGAGTTCCTTAAAAGTATGGTGCACAGTTAGCTATGGTACTTTGAGAATCCATTTAAACTTTTTTCTTGCCACAGAACGAAGTTTGTGCCGCCTTGTATGGCGAGTTAGCAGTCTCTGCATTCTTCAAAAGCAGAGACTGCTTTAGGTGCTTACTAACCAAATCAGAGGAGCACTGTATGTTAGCATCAGGAACACTAGCTCTTTATACCACATGTGACAGACAACAGTTCCTTCCACTTGGGGAAAAAGAAGTTGCAATAAAATGAAAGTTACAAACAAACCACTGGAATAAACAGTATGTCTACGAAGGTTTAACATTTTCACTGTACTTACAGAGAATACAATGTTAGAATCTAGAATCACTGAGGTTTCAGAAACAGCCATTGGCAAACTAATATAGATCAACTCAAAGCTGGTGGATAAGAGGAAAGACTTTGGAAATCTAATGGGGCTCCCGACATACAGGCCCTGATACGGCAGGTCTCAACGAACTGTGATTACGAAGCAATGTCCCAGAAACCGTTGACTCCAAGGAAACATCTTAGAGGCATGGGAGCATTGGGAGAACTACCTTAAGACCCCCCCAAACACACACACTAAAACACTAGTAGGTAACGGAATAGTCACACTAGCTGCTACCAGTCCACAAAACTTCCAGATGCCACGCCACTGGGCTGCTGTGTAATTGGTTCTCAGAAAAGAGCACAGAGCAAGATCTGGGATGCCGGACAGAAAAGCCCACAAGTTGTAACACCAACTAGGATATAAAGGGCCAAACCAGAGGCATTAACGGAACACCTCCTTAGCTGGACAAGGAAATGAGAATATATAAAAAAAATAAAAATAAAAAAAAAAACCCACCCCAAGCCTACGCGATCCGAACCAACCGCAACCCACCCTTTCCCCCCCACCTAAAATAGCACAATAAAAACAGAAGGCCTACCTCCATCTCCAACCCAGCTGAAGAACAACAGCTCGAAGAAGGAAATGGGGATATCCCACGGGATAAATATAGGAAGGTACAGCGGGCCTAAAAAGGGCTAGGAGCAGTACCGCCTGTACAGTGAAGGGGAGGAGAACAAATTGGAAACATAAGTAAATGACTTACAATGACCTTGTGAATAAACGGTCTCACCAATGTAATGGACAAAGTACAAAGATGTTTTCCCCCCCCCCCAGACTTTACTCCAAACATTACAGCTGTACTCATCAGCATGGAAGCTAATCAAAGTCAGAAGGATGTAGTATGACTATGGAATGGCCAAAACTATTTAAAAAAGGTCCACATTAGGAGCCCCAATTACTGTGACCTACATGTACGTTCTATGTAATGATGCTTGTGTGTACACACAGACTGGCACCAAGATGCATAGCGACATAACACTTCACAGAAACAAGATCTCCTGACATAGAACAGAGTGCATACCAGAGTCTTGAAACAGATGCCTAATAATAGAGCCAGCCTGATAAAAAGACAGCATTCCTTGCCCATCACCCTCAACATTCTTACCAATACGCAAGCATGGCATTAGATTAATGCATCCTACAGCTACCCTTCAATGCAATCTTTCACTTAATGTTGTTTATGCTAAAAGACAGATTAGGTCAAGTGACAATGATCACTCAAGGCAAGATTCAGTCAGAGAATTGACAACATACCCCTGAAATAGCACTATTAGAGCTTGTTTGTGAAATGCTTACATATTGTTACACAAAGGAATATGATAAATCTGAAATCCTCCACGCTCCCAACTGAAAAGGAGGTTTTTACTGAGCCATCAAAACTACAAGTGTCGATGTTCTGGCGCAGTCAGTAAGTTTCCAAAGCCACGTTTTCAAAAATGAAAGAAAAAGAACAAAACAAAACAAAAATAAAACAAACAATGCACATTTATTTTTAATTAGTAGCTTTCTCTAGTAGATGAGACAGAAAGGCAAGTACTGTAATAGGGAAAATTTTTACACAGGAAAAGGAAGTGGGTTCAAACAGCCTGCCATGGAGAGAATACCATAAAATATGATCTAATGTTATAATGGAGGAAACCAGCCAACAGGGAACCCAAGACCTTCTAATCATACACAAATCTATTTTATTTAATCTGCTAAGGATGAACATTCAGAGGATCAAAGAGGTATACAGATAATTGGTCAAAGTGCATGTACAAAAGAGATGGAAAAAGGAACCCGAGTCAGAACGCCTGGAAAGTGAGTCCAGTTGAATTATTTAATAGTGGGTACAAAATTACCAGGTGAAAAGGAGCAAGTGCTTCTCAGGTGTGCACAGCACTTAAACTTGTCTACAGAGGACAAAGTGTCTACATTAGTCCACCCCATAATAAGGTGCTAATACAACTGAGAAAAACCCCACAAGCTTAATAAAAGTCATCCTGCTGTATGCCAAACATTTCCCAGCATATAGCTAAAGCCTCTACATGTATGAGCATATATTAGGAGAGATAAGACAGGATTAAATGAGCACACCAATTAGACCTGGCAAGCAGCAAATACACTGAGCAGTCGTCACTCCCCTCCCCCAAATAACCTTTCAATTTTGATACAGCAAACTCATGTTGTATTCCCTACTAAAACCATTCTTCTCTTATGGTTCAAGTGGATCTGTCAAGAACATGACAGCTATACACTGTACTAGTACATTCATGGAAAAATAGTTGTCCTCTGCAATATAGGTGTATTCACTAAATTCAGAGATGATCCTAGTAAACACTAGATTTAATAATGTTTTGCTGGAACCCAGATAATCACCAATTTAGGTATTAAAACATGGCAGTGCAACTGTGACTATTATAAACACAATCCATATTGTTTACTGGAAAATGGTCCTCTAGAAGGTTAGACTTAATTTATTAAACAGGATTACCTTGACTACTGAAATATCTAAAGTGTTTCAGATGGTCACCAATGATTTCCCCCCCCCCCCTCTCCCCTGCCCCTACACACACTTTTCCATCTACCCTATCCAAATTATAAACCTTGTTAAATAAGCAGTGTAAGATATTTCCTATTCCTAGGTCACGTGATGTCAACTGTGCTTTGGATCAAAGCATCATTTCAATGAGAAAGGTTGCTTGTGTAATCACTGATGCCGCTTTCATTTCTATGAATGAGCTACATTTAAAGGAAAGCTCTTTGGTATAAAGCTGCCTGTGATTTAAGTTTCTAGGGTGATTGGGTTGAGCACTTACCAGTGTAGGATGGCATGAACACCTACTGCATAGATATGATCTTGCCATATAGAATGCACAAAAAATAAAAATTCAAACCTTGTTAAATAAGCAGTGTAAGATATTTCCTATTCCTAGGTCACGTGATGTCAACTGTGCTTTGGATCAAAGCATCATTTCAATGAGAAAGGTTGCTTGTGTAATCACTGATGCCGCTTTCATTTCTATGAATGAGCTACATTTAAAGGAAAGCTCTTTGGTATAAAGCTGCCTGTGATTTAAGTTTCTAGGGTGATTGGGTTGAGCACTTACCAGTGTAGGATGGCATGAACACCTACTGCATAGATATGATCTTGCCATATAGAATGCACAAAAAATAAAAATTCAAACAAGCGCCATCAGAATTAAGGGATACATTTTAATGAAGGCCAAAAACCATTTCGGGTTTACAAACCTTTTTTCAATGTGCAATGCCCTCCAGTTATTGCTTCCCAGATGCCTGCAAGTTTCTCTTTACTCCTCAATCTTTGCCAGCATGGGACACTTCTCTTTAAATCTCGCAATCACTGCCTACCATTGCTACGGTAACATGGTGATCGAGTTAGACGTGATCACGTTATCATTCACCATGATCGGTGCAATTTGAGGGAGGACTACATGAATTTTGGTGGGCTTGGGCACTCCAAACCTCTCTCTGTAGCTGCCTGGGCTTATTCTATTTGATTCATGTGGTAGGAGAATTACTTTTTCAAAATGCAGCACTTAGATGTACTGCTTAAGTCTGCTTTTAAAGGGACACCGTAGGCACTGTATCTGCTTCATCTCATTAAACTGGTTATAGTGTCTGGAGTCCTCTGGTACCATAATTTCTTTCAGCCTTAAACAGTTTTTAAAGTTTTAATGCTTTAATGCTAAACAAGAGTCATAGGCAATCCATCCCCTCTGTGCTGCTTTGGCTAATAAGGAAGTATTAGCCTGAGCAACAATGGGCAGCTGTGATTGGCTGAGAGTGTCAGCTGACTGCTTTTAGCCTGTCAGAGTTCCAACGGACGGTATGAATGGGTATGACAATAAGGAAGTGTGTAATCTCTGCCTTAACTACACATACTGAAGGGGCCGGACTGTGGGTGGCCAGGGACTCTTATTTTGTGGCATACTGCACAAACATGGTTCAACACTGAATGGAGGGACAATGCCAGGGCACTCCAGGCACTATAACCAATTCAAAGAGATGAAATGCTTATAGTGACTACAGTGTCCCTTTCATTTTTTGTGACTTATATTATACCACAAGAGGAGTCATGGTGGTTTTATGAACCAGCTGCACAGTACTAATTCATTTATTTTATAAGCTTTCTTCATATTGTAATTTGTATTTATTTATTTTTAACTCCTTTTGACCTATTTTGCCATTTAGAATGGCAACCATTAACTGTGCATGTATGTCTTTAAAAAGATAAAGTATTTTTCTATTATTAACTGAGAAATGTAGGAAACTAAAACCCAAATTGCACAATTAAGGCAAAAAATTGATTTATAAAAATAAAAAAAAAATATATAAATTTTGCTAAAGTCACTCGTGGCAATTGTAGCCTATATTTTGCAATTCCAATTTTAAAACAAGCACCATAACCATTACAGCCCACTATAGTGTTTAAGACGACAAGAGTGCCCTAGCGTTGTGAATCTCAAGTTTAAAGGAACGACACTACAGCATTAGGGATACAAACATGTCTCCTTGCACTGTCCCTCCGTTCAGTGCTTAACTATTTTAGAGCAATTTAACACTAAATGACGGTCAATGGATTCCCATAGCTCAGCCTCCATTGAAAGCGTGGCTAAGTCAGAGATTACTGTATTTTCCGGCGTTTAAAATGATTGGGCGTATAAGACGACCCCCAACTTTGGAGACGATTTTCCAGGGTTAAAAGGTTGTCTTATACGCCGGAAAATACGGTACTCTGTTGTAACCATACCGATTCATACCTACAGCTAGCTACCTCATTAGCCCAAGCATCACAGAAGATATGGGTGACTTTGTTTGGCATTAAAAGATTAAAAACAAGTTAATGCTGAATGGAAGGACAGCGCCAAGGGACTCCAGACACTTCAATGAGATGAATCAGTTATGGTGTTAGTGTCCCTATAAATGTACATTTTAGCCTTTGTATATTAACGTTGGGCTCTAGATGACCTCAATCAAGATTAGATTTGCCAAACCCAGTATGCTTCCCTACACAAATTATCTGTTGATGCTGATGCGCAGTATTTGAAAAGTGCTGCCCTGAAGTATGGACAACACTTTGAGGGAGGGGATATCAAATTACTGAATTTGCATAAAGTAGCATGTCCCCAAAAACTTGACGGTTCCAATGAATATTGGTAAATACAAAATTATGTCCTAAAATAAATAAATTTTCCCTTCTGCTTCTAAGGATGTCAGAACTATGACAATTAAAATTTGCAGAAATAAATAATGTAAATTCCGTAAAAAGTAGTTATGCCATCACAGTCATACATATTTATTGGACTTCTAACACTTGATGATTAATTCAAGGGATGGTAACAGAAAGAATCTCCCCATTTTAGAACCGTAGCTCCCATAACATGCAGCTTTCTGAGCTGGCAAAGCATCATGGAAGTAGTACTACAGGGGGCTTCAGTTTTGGCTCTCTCTAGTGCGTATCATATGTTTTAAGTACAATGAATGAATGACAAATCTGTGAGGCAAGTTCTTTAAAGTGATCTGACCGTGTTAAAGGACCACTATAGTGCCAGGAAAACACTCGTTTTCCTGGCACTATAGTGCCCTGAGGGTGCCCCTCAGTTGGAGAGCTCTCCTCTTCGGCTGAATGCATGGTAGGAGCTGCGCGCGCATTCAGCCAGTCTCATAGGAAAGCATTTATAATGCTTTCCTATGGACGCTGGCGTCTTCTCACTGTGATTTTCACAGTGAGAAGCACACAAACGCCCTAGCGGCTGTCAATGAGTCTGCTATGTTTATAGAAGAAAGGGTTAATCCTAGAGGGACCTGGCACCCAGACCACTTCATTAAGCTGAAGTGGTCTGGGTGCCTAAAGTGGTCCTTTAAGTCCCCTGATTTTGTTTTAGCCCATTTCAAGAACTCATTTACTTTGGAAAATTATTTGAAAGGGGAATGTAAACCCAAATTTTGTTAAGCAGGTTGTAAAATATACTTCTACTTGGAGACTAACAGGTCACATTAGCTAAATTAGGAAAAACAAAAAAACAACCACACAAAAAAACTCCAAGCCAGTTCGATTTTCAGTTTGGCATAAAATGACCAATTCACATAAATTTTCACTCTAGTGAATAATGCTGTAAATGTGTGCAGCTCCTCAATTATTTTATTATTTATATAGTGCTTGCAAATTCCATAGCGCTATGTCAGTGTTTGCTCCACTTACATAAAATGGCAGGAAGAAGACAATAGTACATGAAGCATGTATGCTGAAAATGTAACTAGTGTATTCACATCCAAGCCTAATCCTTGAATACAAAAATATATGTTCTAAAGTTTAGGTACCATACAAAGAAAAAAATACAAGACAATTTGGGGGAGGGGGGGTCTGTATTGTAAGAAACTTTCCAAAGTTTCATAGAATTCATATCCTACTTTGACACTTCACGCACAATGCTTTGACTTATTACCAATCTGCCACAGTGGTTACGTAGCCCATTTTGTCGAAATCACTGTCCTGAGTCTATCCTCCATCCCTTATTTTAACCTTTTACCTTTCTTGACCCAACTTTGCCTTCTTCTGAACCCAATTTAACAAGCCCTCTTACTTGTCCCTAATCTACCTTATTCACAACTGACAGAATGTACTAATTGTTTAAAAAAAAAAAAAAAAATGGCTTTACATAACCAGGCCTTTGCACACTTACTAACAGAAATCAGTTGCCTTAACTTGGTGATATGCATTTCCAGTAGGATGGGAAATCCATTAGAAAACCTTTCTGGCAACCTACGTTTTTTTGACAGTCTTTTAAACTTAAGGCCGTAATAGCTGAACTGGAAGCATAGCGAAGTAGGAGATTATTTCTGGTTCAGGTATTTTGCCCTTAAACTTGAAATTCATTTTGAATTCCCAACAATTCTTACGTTAGTAAATAGCCTTAAGAGACTCAACTTATTATGTACATTGTATTAACTTGGTGGGCCATTCTTCAATTGGAAAAAATGCTCAGTGTCTCCTCTTAAACCCCTTAAGGACCAAACTTCTGGAATAAAAGGGAATCATGTCACACATGTCATGTGTCCTTAAGGGGTTAAAGTGGCATTGTCACCCTCTGGGAAAATGCATTTATGAAGAAAATCTTTATGAAATACTTAAACGGACTGTGTTTTAATTTCAATGAGATTCCAACCCAGTCACAAAATACACAGACAAAGTAGGGACTACTTTGTCTCAATATATCTTCTCTGCCTGACACTAGACAATTACCGCTGTCAAGAAGTGTCAATCAGCAGTGAGAGCTGGAGGATCCCCCATAGACCTTAATGTTTTACTCGCACGCATGCACGAGAGTACAGATGTTGACTGCGAAGAAGACAGGCCGGAACAGAATGGCAGCACCTGCAATTGACAGGTTCAGGTAAATTAATTTCACCTTTCCCTGCTCTCAGCAGTGATGTCACCGCTATCATACAAGTATAATATTAACAACAACATTTAAATACATTTTGTTAAATCTCTTTTGTTCTGAATCAAATTGGAAAGTGGTAAACAAATCAAAGAGTACAGTTGCCTATAATCTAATCAGTATGATGTGCTGGTTCCTATAAAACTAAACAGGGGCACTTTTTGGGGAACTCACCCAGGGGGTTAAGAATCATTGAATTACTGGATATAAAAGGTTAAAACTATTTGTCATGAACAAGTTGGCTCCATTAATCGGTGCTGTTGCTTCCTCCTTTGTTAGCCCCAACCATCATCATTCCTGAGTATGTAAAAATATACAATATAAATCTTGTCTCATGGCCCTACTTTCTCTTTTTGATAACATGCTCTATCTGGTCTTTCTCTGCTAGGGCAGAGGTTTTTAACCAGTCTTGAAATCCAGAATTGGGTCCCAATGTTAGGGACAAGCATTTCAAGTTGATGCAGGATTTACGTAAATGCTCACAAGATGTTTTTACTGTATCATTTGTGCATTTCTTAAAGCAAGGAGACCTCTTTCACAATTGAAAGAGTGTAATGAAGGCACGTAGTTTAAATCTCGAAGAATGTGTAGTGAAGATAATGACATCACTTGAATCCTTGTTAAAAACCACTGATCTAACCCCACCGTCGTATAAAGGCACTGCATCTGGTCCTCTGACTCTTGTTAAATGCTCTAAATTATATATCCAATTATAAAGCCACCATATTTAGTCCTTCAGTGTTTAATGCCAGTGCATCTAGTCCTTCACCCCCTATTATAAAGCCACTGCATCAGGCCTTATTTTAAAAGGATGTGCCATGTGGCTCTTTATCCAGTTATAAAGCCACCACATTTTAGGCCTTCACGGTTTTATAAAGTCACTGCAGCTGGTCCCTTTGCCCCATATTATAAAGATAGTGCATCAGGTCCTTCCTCTCTTTTTAACCCCTTAAGGGCCAAACTTCTGGAATAAAAGGGAATCATGACATGTCACACATGTCCTGTGTCCTTAAGGGGTTAAACCCTGTTCCAGGTGGTCCTTTACCTAGTTATAAAGCCACCAAATTTGGTCCCCCATTGTTTTATAAAGCCAGTGCATCTAATCCTTTGTCCCCTATAATAAAGCCATAGCATCTGGTCCTTCACTCATTTCTCCTCCTTATTTTATAGGGCCAGTGCACCTAGTCCTTTACTCCACCACCTATCCAGTCCACACACTCTTCTGACCATTCATCCCACGTTACCTGATCCTTCAGCAGTCTTATAAAACTACTCACCTGTCCCTAACCTTCATCTCTACTGTACCCACTGAGCCCCTGCCGCTATTAGCCCATTCATAGCTGGCCGATAGCCCATGGAGGGCCAATGACTGCATGATGTCAGGCATAGCCAGGCTGGGATAGCCAGGAGCTGTAACCCCCCTCCCCCACCCTCAGGTCTCTGGCAAAGCATCATGGGAGTTGTAGTTCGGTGGTTGCAGAGCTGCCTCCTCAGCCCTCCTCCCATTGTAAAATGCTTTGATTGACGCCTGGTTGGGCTTCACCCCCTCCATCCCACAGCTCCAGCATTAAACATACACTATCCGGTAATGGCCGCTCCTAGCTCGCCCTCGCCGGCTTCTCCTCCTCTCACCGCCTCCCCAGGCGCTGCTCCCAGCTGGGATAGGGGGGCGGTCACCCGCAATGGTCTCCTCCCGTGTCCCGGATCCTCTCACCCGCTCTGAACCCGTTCAAATCAACAACAAGATGGCGGACCAGCCGGGAAGGAGGCGGTCCGGGGTCTCCTCGTCATGGCAACAGTCTAAGCTCAGCCGTCCCTGCACAGAGCCTCCACCAATCAGGAAGAAGCACTCCTCGGCCGCTTGCCAGAGCCTTCTTCCCATTTGCTAAGTTTGCTGTCAGTCATTTCCTTAGTCCCCACCCACCTCGGCTTGCTGTCAGTTACTGACAGATTCCACCTTCTTAAAGACGCTTGTCATGTGATCGTGGGCAACTTTACGATTGGATAATGTAAAGACTGCAGGATTATACTGCCACGCCCCCAAGTTATCATCGGCTTGTAGTAAACTGGTTCTTCAGAGCCCCCTAGTGGACAGTCTTAATAATGACAAGGATGGAAAAAAAATATCTATTTTTTTGGAATGAATCATCAGTGGAGCCATGGTCTGATAGAGCTGAAGCAAGCCCATGTCCATGAAAAAGGCCCATTGCTATTATTAAACTACTTTTCATACGCACTTCCTTTGTGCAGATGGAATGAAGTATGGAAAATTAAGAGGGATGTAGGGGAACAAACCTTGTGTGGACTGGGTGGTAGTGATTAGAAGTGGTTGTGGTGCCTGCATTCTGTATGTGCAGCATTTGTCTATGAAAAGCTGCACATACGAAGTTTAACTCTTCTGCTGCCGGAAGTGTTACACAGCAGAATCGGGGTGTCCTTACTGATACTTATGTCCGTCTCTTTGCTATTGGCTGAAAATCTTGGAAACCTGCCCTATTATGAATGCCTTCCCCATCATTTTTATAAGTTTATGCACACAAACTCAGTTCTGGTCGCTTTAGCATTGATCAGGTTCTAGGGAATGCAAAAAAAAAAACAAACGAAACAAAAACCATAGATAAACAATGTGTTGAACTTCATAGTAAACAGGGACAATTTCTGCAAAATACTTTGATATTCTAAGTTATTCTAAGTGGTTATGCCAAGCCTTTTTCTGAAATCTTGTTGCATTCCCAAATGGGCATTATTACCCTCCTTGTAATCCTAAAAATAAAGAGTTAAACTTACCTGGAATCCAGCACTGGGCAACGCTCCCAGTAAGTTTTCCATGCCCTGTCTGTTTTCCATGCCCGATCATAGTCTAATTGAATGCTTCTCATGGAGAAGCATTTGATTGGACCATTTCACTGACTCAGAATGTGTCACAAACTTACCTGCTTCAGTTGCCAATGCTGCTCCCCTTGATGGGCCACACGAGCCGAAAGCTTTACATACCCACGCTGCTCCCCTCCTCAGGTTTCTCAGCCAAAATCATTCTACTCGGCCATGCAACCTGAACAGAGAATATTACACTTTCCATTCGTCCCAGCGAACAGCTCCCTCTACTGGTTCGGGCGGGCGGAAATCAAGTCATCTGTTTCTTCCCAACTGTCTGCTTGGATGGCGCTTCTTTTATGTATTAAAGAATTTGACATCGCGCCTGCCCCAAGAAAATGTGACGTCGCGCCATATTCATAAAATTAATTTGGGTCAATGTTCATTGCCCTATCATGGTTTCTGCCTTGATACAGTACCAGGTGCAATCCAAGGCAGTGCTAGACCAGCTTTGCCGGGAGAGATCTATTCCCTGTCGGGGAAAAACCAAAGAGGAGCTATTACAAGCACTGGTGGACTATGATATGCAACAAGCAGTGCAAAGTGATGCCTCAAACACTGCTGAAGAAATACCTGCAGCTTTTGTCAGTGATTTACCGAGATCTGGAGATCCCTTGGATTCTTACTTGCAAACTGTGTTGAAATATGTGGACTCAGCAGATACAAACCAAAGACTACAGCTTATCCTTCAATATCAGGAGAGGGAGAGAGAGGCTGCAGAGCGGCAGGCTGAGAGAGAAGCTGCGGAGCGACAAGCTGCCAGAGAGCATGAGCTAAAAATGGCTGTGTTAGAGAGGTTGACTGCCTCCCCTATAAGTATTAATTCCAGAGACTCTTCTGCACCCAAACCACGTGCAGAGAATTTTCCAACTTTGGACAAAGATGGTGATTTGGATGTTTTCCTGCGCAGTTTTGAAAAAGTTTGCAGGCAGTACCAGCTACCAAAGGACCAGTGGGCAAAATACCTCACCCCTGGTCTCAGAGGTCCTGCACTGGAAGCATTTGCTGCGCTTCCAGCAGAATTTGACCAGGACTATGATGCGATTAAGGCTGCCTTGCAGGAATGGTACAACCTTACTCCTGAGGTATACCAAAAGAAATTCAGGACTTTGCAAAAGCATCCCACAGAGAGTTATGCAGCGGTTGTGGGGCACCTGGCGACAGCATTCCGACAGTGGACTACAGGGCTGGAGATTACCACTTTGGAAAGTTTGCAAGACCTGTTAATAAAAGAACAGTTTTTGCAGCTCTGCCCAGCTGATGTACAGGAATGGCTGCTGGACCGGAACCCCAAAACAGCATTGGAAGCGGGTAAGCTGGCAGATGTCCACACTGCCAACAGAGCAACAGTGGACCGGAGCAGAGGGTTTACCAAGGGAACATCCAGCTGGAGGACCACACCACCACGACTCCCCATCACCAGGCCTAGTGGGCCATCTTTTGTTTCAACTCCTACCTCAGGGAGAGGGGGAGCTAGTGCCATGTCTGCGCAAGGAGATAGTCGCAGATGTTTTATTTGCAACCAAGTTGGGCACATTAGTGTTGCTTGCCCTGGGAAACGGCAGCCAGCATCATCAGCTGGGGAGGGACGCTCCTCAGAACCAACATCCTCTGTGTTGTTTGTAACCAGATCAGAGGGCAGCAACAATGTGAATCTGCAACCTGTGACAGTTGGAAGAGAGGTAACTGTGGGACTCAGGGACACTGGGGCAGATGTGACTCTTGTGCGTCCAGAGCTAGTGTGCTCTGACGACTTAATTCCTGGCAGGACTCTAGCAGTTAAAGGAATTGGGGGGGTACGACTTGTAGTGCCAATGGCACGAGTTTATTTGGATTGGGGAGCGGGGAAGGGTTTCAGAAATGTGGGGGTAGATGAGAATATCCCTGCAAATGTATTACTTGGTACTGACTTAGGTAGATTGTTATCCCAGTATGCAGGGCCGGACTGGGGAAAAAATTCGGCCCGGGCATTTTTAATTACAGCGGCCCACTGAAAAGGGGGCGGGGCCAGATAGGGTGTGTTTTGTCATCCCCAATGACAAGCACGCCCCATCTCAAAGTGAGCATGTTGGTTCAATGCTCTTCCAGGGCATGAGAAAAGGGCCCTGTATTTGATCTGCACAGCGCAAGCAAATTTAATAACATGCTTGCATTGTGTTTGCTTGAAACTTGTCTCAGGGGTTTCCATAATTGGAATACTCACTGTATCCCATTTATGGAGACACTATGTGTTTGCTTAAAGGATTTCTAGTGTGTTCATAGGGGATCTTGAGTGTGTATGTCAGAAATGTAGTGTGTGTGTAAGTGGTGCAGCGTCTGTGTGTAGGGGATCTAGTGTGTGTTTGAAGGACTCAGGAGTGCGTATAGGAGATCTAGTGAGTGTGTGACTGGTGCAGTGTGTTTGGGGGGTGCTGTGTGTGTGAGGGGTGTAGTGTGCATTTGTGAGGAGTATAGTGTGTGTGGGAGGGTGCTGTGTGTGAGGGCGCTGTGTGTGAGGGCACTGTGCGAGGGTTCTGTGTATTTGAGGGTGCTGTGTATTTGAGGGTGATGTGTGTGTTGGGGTGCTGTGTGTGTTGGGGTGCTGTGTGTGTGTGGGTTGCTGTGTGTGTGTTGGGTTGCTGTGTATGTGTTGGGGTGATGTGTGTGTGTGTGTGTGTGCTAGGTTTCTGTATGTGTTAGGGTGCTGTGTCAATGTTAGGATGCTGTGTCAATGTTAGGGTGCTGGTGTTAGGGTGCTGTGTGTGTGTGTGTGTTAGGGTGCTGTGTCAATGTTAGGGTGCTGGTGTTAGGGTGCTGTGTGTGTTTTAGGGTGCTGTGTGAGTGTTAGGGTGCTGTGTGTGTGTTAGGGTGATGTATCAATGTTAGGGTGCTGGTATTAGGGTGCTATGTGTGTGTTGGGGTGCTGGTGTTAGGGTGCTGTGTGTGTGTTAGGGTTCTGTGTCAATGTTAGGGTGCTGGTGTTAGGGTGCTGTGTGTGTGTTAGGGTTCTGTGTCAATGTTAGGGTGCTGTGTGTGTGTTAGGGTGCTGTGTCAATGTTAGGGTGCTGTGTGTGTGTTAGGGTGCTGGTGTTAGGGTGCTGTGTGTGTGTTAGGGTGCTGTGTCAATGTTAGGGTGCTGGTGTTAGGGTGCTGTGTATGTGTTAGGGTGCTGGGTGAGGGTGATGTGTGTGTTTGCCAGGATTTTGTATTGGGGGAGGCAGGTAAATGGCACTATTAATGTTTTACTAAAAAATAAAAATAAATACATAATAATAAATAATAAAAATAAATACATAATAAATACTAATAATAAATAATAAAAATAAATACAAACTAATAAATACTAATAATAAATACTAATAATAAATAATAAATACATACTAATAAATACTAATAATAAATACTAATAATAAATAATAAAAATAAATACATACTAATAAATACTAATAATAAATACTAATAATAAATAATAAATACATACTAATAAATACTAATAATAAATACTAATAATAAATAATAAATAAATACTAATAATAAATAATAAATACATACTAATAAATACATACTAATAAATACATAATAATAAATACTACTAATAAATACATATAATAAATACATACTAATAAATACTAATAATAAATAATAAAAATAAATACATACTAATAAATACTAATAATAAATACCAATAATGAATAATAAATACATACTAATAAATACTAATAATAAATACTAATAATAAATAATAAAAATAAATACATACTAATAAATACTAATAATAAATACTAATAATAAATAATAAATACATACTAATAAATACTAATAATAAATACTAATAATAAAAATAAATACATACTAATAAATACCATTTGTCAATAAATACTAATAAATACCAATAATAAATACATAATAAAATTAATAATAAATAACAAATACATACTAAGAAATACTAATAATAAATAAATAATATTATATCCTCTATTCTACCTGTAGTCTGAAGGTGGGTCGTAAGGTTATCTGGAATCTCAGGAGTTGGTGAACTTCAGCTCCTTGGGGTTAGAATTATCAAGATCTGCCGGTCTGGATTCGGCGAGAGAAAGTTAGAGCCTGGCTGGTCCTTCTGGTTGGCTCTCACGGGCGTCGTTGAAGGATAAGAGGGAGATTCCACTGGCTCCAGCGGATAGTCGGCTGGATAGCGCCGGCCCTGCATAGACCGGCAGGGGAGATCCTGTGATCTCCCCTGCCGGCCTCGGCCCATGGACACCGCGGCCCACCGGGCATTTGCCCGCTGTGCCCGATGGCCAGTCCGGGCCTGCCAGTATGTGCCAGAAAGTAATGTATGTTATAAACCCAAGCCTCATAGGGGCCCTACTGTGCAGAGGGCAGTATGTGAAAATGTATGCAGACAATTGTGCTGGGAGGGAGGGCAGAATAAGCATGTGTGCGGGTCTGTGCCTGAACCAGAAGTGTCTGTAATATCATGTGAGAGTGTGCCAAGACAAAGTTGCTGGGAGGGAGGGCAGAATGAGCATGCGTGCCAGGCTATGCCAAAACCAGAATTGTCTGTGGTATCAGGTGAAAGTTTGCCAGGGCAACTTCGCTGGGAGGGAGGGCAGAATGTGTGTCAATCTGTGCCAGAACCAGGGGTGTCCGTGGAAACTTGTGAAAATGTATGCAGACAATTGTGCTGGGAGGGAGGGCAGACTGAGCATGTGTGCTGGTCTGTGCCTGAACCAGAAGTGTCTGCAATATCATGTGAGAATGTGCCAAGACAAAGTTGCTGGGAGGGAGGGCAGAATGAGCATGTGTGCCAGGCTGTGCCAAAAGCAGAGTTGTCTGTGGTACAAGGTGAAAGTTTGCCAGGACAACTTCCCTGGGAGGGAGGGCAGAATGTGTATCAATCTGTGCCTGAACCAGGGGTGTCTGTGGAAACAGGTGAAGGTGTATGCCAGCAATTGTGCTGGGAGCGAGGGCAAATTGAGCATGTGTGCGTGTCTGTGCCAGCACTAGGGGTGCCTGTAATACCATGTGTGAGTGGGCAAAAACAGCTGCACAGCGAGGCGGGGCTGGATGAGCGTGTGTGCCTATCTGTGTCAGTGCCAGGGTTGTTTAAGATGCCAGGTGAAAACACAAGTGGATCAAACCATTGGGAACCAGGGCAGGATGAGTTGATGTGTTCACCTGTATCTCAGTCAGGAGTATGTCAGGTGCCAGAACAAGGACAAAGTGAGTGGCTATGTGAGATTATGGAAGGATGGCCTGACTGGGAGAGGAAATTACGTGAGTGTGTTTCACATCCAGTGCCTGACCAAGGGGTGCTAAAGGTGTTATGTGACAATGTGCAGGAAGAGAATTCTAGGGAGAGAGGGTTGAATGAATATGTGTGCCAAAATCTGCCTGACGCCAATGTATTGGCTGGGCTGGGTGAAAGTGTGGAGGGAGAGCATGGCTTTGAGGGAGGGCAGAGTGTGTGTGAGCCTTACTCTGCACAAGACTCAGCCAGTTCCCAAGGTGCTGTGTGTGTGAGGACATGGAGTGGAGGTGAGGGAGAGACAGAGGTTCCATCAGTAGATAGGGGGACCCGTCCACGGCCTGCCCAAAGTGAGGGGCATGGACAGTCTCAACCTGTGGGTCCAGGGAAAATGGCCGCAGGGGAACATACTGATGGGGGAACTGAAAGGGTTAATGTTGTAATGGACTCTAATCCCCTCGGTTCTCGATCCCTCGGTCACCATAATCAACGTTGATGGAGAATCATTTGTAAGCAATAACACACGGACAACAGCTTTACAAGACTCTCAAATGAGTGTATTCCAGAGCTGGCTTTTATACATAGTTTGCTTACATTAGCCATGGTATATGCAAATACAGTACAGACTATAAGATTTATTACTTCCTTGTATTACGTTATTCTGACAATGGAAAGATAAGCTTTTGCATACGTCTGGAAAAGAATATCCTTAAAATCGGAATGGGCAAGACATCCTGAAATTTAGCATTGTCTTACATCCTATAGAAGAAATACCTTAGTCTGTCACAGTCAGCATATTGACTTTAAGTATTCAATATCCCTTCAGTCAGCAATAATCATGTTATAAACCTTATAAAAGCATAAAATACATATAAACAAGTTAACTATTTAATATTCTTACATTCCCCTCTTTGAGCAATAAAACAATTGCTCATCTTATCGATAAAATCTTACCAGGACAGAGAAACTTCCACATGGTATTTTCAGGGGTGCTAGTCACTCCCTGCGGGACTTTCATTAATTTCTTCACCTCGATTCCCATGTGGTAATTCCTAAGGCCTAGTTTAAAGATGGGTTGATACTCTACAGTGGCAGAGAGGAGAATTTCTAATTGTTTCTGTTCTGCATTATGGATTCATTTCTGTACTCACTTCCTCAATGTACAACTAAGGTGACAGTTATATAAAATCATACACAATAAAATCAGGACTATAATAACAAAAGGATAGAAGAATGATTTCATTATCTGGGATCCAGTAGGGGACCATGCTGCAGCCGCCCGAGCGCTCTGTATAGAGCCTCAGGCGGCTGCAGCTTTGCCCGGGCGGTGCGTCCATGAGGGCGGACCGCACCGCCCGGGCGCAGCCTGAGAAAGGGGGCTGACAGGAGGGAAGCGCTGAGCGATCCCTCCTGTCAGCTCCCTCACTGCAGCATGGTCCCATCGGCGAGTTGTTTCAGAGCCGCCTGATTCATCAGTGAAGTGCACACTGAGTGCACTTCCTGCCAGTCCGGGCCGGCACAGGTGAAACAGTGCCCCTGCACCCGGACCATACAGGCCCGCCACACCACAGGGAGGAAGGAGGAGAGGAGAGAAATAAGGGGCAGAGAGAGAAATGGGAAAGAGAAATAAGGGGGGTGAGAGAGGGGTGAGAAAGAGAAATACAAGAGAAAGAGAACAAGGGGTGAGAGAGGGTGAGAAAAGAAATAAGGGGTGAGAGAGGGTGAGAAAAAGAAATAAGGGGTGGAGAGAGAGGCGAGGAGAAAAGAAAATAAGAGGGGGTGAGAAAGAGAAATAAGGGGGGTGACAGAGAAATAAGGGGGGGTGAGAGAGAAATAAGGCGGGATGAGAAAGAGAAATAAGGGGGGGGTGAGAGAAATAAGGGGGTGGGTGAGAAAGAGAAAAGGGGGGTGGGTGAGAAAGGAGGGGGTGAGAGAAAATAGGAGCGGGGAAGAGAGAAATTAGAGGGGAGAGAGAAGGAAATTGGGAGGGAGGGGAGAGAGAGAAGGAAATTGGGAGGGGGGAGAGATTGACATCCATCTCACACACACAATGCACCCTTGCACACAGAAAAACACACAATGCATTACACACACAGACACACATACACAAGCAATGCAACCGTTACACACAATGCATCCCTTACACACACAGAAACACACAATGCATTCATTACACACACTCAATGCACCCCCTACACACATTCAATGCATCCCATACATACACAGAAACACACCTTGCAGCCCTTACACATACAAACACAATTTCACACAATGCACTCCTTACACACATATCAGGACATCCCTTACACACTCCACCCCCTGTGAACAAACTCATTGGTGGAACATGAAGGTGGACCCTGGGACCCAGACCTTGAGCTGTAAAGGACCCCCAAAAAATGGAGCTGCTTCCCGTTCTCCCAGAACATTGATTTTTGTGACCACAGTTACAAACCGCCTCCAGAGAGCCTGTTCTGCACCAGACCAGTGGAGCCAGACTGCAGCTAGAGCCCATCATCATCCTCATCTGGTTGTAAGTAGGCAATCTAGTATATTATTCGTGGCACCAAGCTCTAATTTACCTCACATTAAAGAAACATCTACAGGTAGGTCCCCAGAACCACTTCAGCTAATGTAGTGGTTCTGGTGTCTATAGCCTGTCCCTGCAGGCCTTTTGCACGTAAAACACGGGCGGCACCGCAGCACTGGCGCTAGTTAACATGGCAAATCATATGGCTGGGGCATTGTGGATCGCCATGGGGGCGGCAAACTTTACTTTTGCCTTGGGCTACAAAAACTCTTGGTAATTGGCCCTGGCTGGAGGGGGCTGTGTGAGCTGTGGCCGCGACAGTGTCCCATGGTAGTTAGGGTGCCGTAGTACCGGAGGAAATGTGTATGTGTGACTGTCTGCCTGTGACTGTGTGTGACTGTCTGCCTGTAACTGGAGTAAAAAGTGGACTGTCTGTCTGTAACTGAGTGTGTGACTGTCTGTCTGTAACTGAGTGTGTGACTGTCTGCCTGTAAATGTGTGTGTAGGGCTGCAGGGATTTTGTAGAAGGGGGTTGGGGTTTTGTATTGGGACAGGAGTCTTTATAAGGGGGGATAAGCAGGGGATTTGTGGAAGGGGGTTGCTGGGGTTTTGTAGACGGGGCAGTACAGGATTTGTAGAAGGTGCAGGACAGAGGTTTTGTAGGAGGGGCGGGGCAGGACAAGGGTTTTGTAGGAGGGGCTGACAGCGGTTTTGCAAAGTTTACAAATTGTAAAAAAAAAGAAAGAAAACCTTTAACATTTTTTACAGGGTTTTTTTTTTTGGGGGGGGGGGGGGCCAAGCACAGGATCCGCCCCGGGTGCCAAATGCTCTAGGTACGCCCCTGCAACCTCCAATGAATACTGAACTTACAGTGAGAGACAGAATAACAACAACAACAACAATCTAGAAAAACGCATGTCACAAACGTTGTAAATTGATTTGCATGTCAATGAGT